TCTCTTTACTTCCTACAACTAAGTACATAAGTCATGGATCATATCCCTCCAGGACCCCCAGCACATAATACACATAGGATGGAGGTATCCCAAGTCTTTCAGGGCTCGGGAAAGAGGAGGTACCCACATTGGGTACCAGAGAGCAGCCCTGATTATTCAGCTATATATATGGAAACTCTCCCACTTGTGCTCTCTCCCCTGTTTCGCCATCCTCCAACAGGGAAACTATATTGGTTTGGTTTAAGAAAGTCACCTTGGGAACTACTCTGCCAGGCATGCTTCCCTCCCATATCTTCAATTTTATTTTATTTTTTGGGGGGTCCACTCGTGAGGCCTGAACTCTGGGCCTGGGCACTGTCCCTCAGTTCTTCAGCTCAAGGCTAGCACTCTACCACTCGAGCCACAGCGCCACTTGCATGCAAGGCAAGTGCTCTACCACTGAGCCACCTTCCCAACCCCATGGGGAAAATCTTTATAACAATGGATTTAGCAATAACTTCTTGGGTAAAATATTAAAAACACAAAGAACAATAATAATAAGACTCATCAAAATTTTAAATTCTGGGCATCAAGACATTATCAAAAGTGAAAGACTAAAGGAAGGGATGACATTATACAAAAAGAAATGTACTCATCTCCTGACCTATGAAACTGTAACCCCTCTGTATATCACCTTTATAATAACAAAATAAATTGGGGAAAAAAAGTGAAAGACAAGCCATGGAACAGAGAAAGTATTTACAAAGCATATATCTAATAAAGGATTAGAATCCCAAATAACTACTATAACTCAATTCAAATGAAAAACACAATTCAAAGATGGAAAATCCAAAGTGCCCAATGCTTTAGGAAAGGCTAGGGAAAAGATGCAGACGAAGTCTGCTACCTCCTGCCTAAGCACTAAGGAATTCTCATTGCTGTTACAGATGAGCCAAAATGAAGATGTGAAGGGGTAACACTGTCCAAAAAGAAATGTACTCATTACTGACTTATGAAATGGTAACCCCTCTGTAATCAACTTTATAATAACAATAAAAAATATTTAATTAAAAAATTGAAGATATGGGGGCTGGGAAGGCGGCTCCCTGGTAGAGCGCTTGCTTTGCATGCCTGAGGCCCTGGGTTCAATTCCTCAGCACCACATAAGCAAAAAGAAAAAAGCCGGAAGTGGCGCTGTGGCTCAAGTGGTAGAGCACTAGCCTTGAGCTGAAGAGCTGAGAGACAGCGTCCAGGCCCTGAGTTCAGGCCCCACGACTAGACCCTCCCCTCCCCCCCCCCCCCCAAAAAAAAAAAAAAAAAGAGTGTCTCGGACTTTCCTGTCCGGGCTGGCTTTGAACTGCAATCCTCAGATCTCAGCCTCCTGAGTAGCTAGAATTACAGGCGTGAGTCACCGGTGCCTGGCTCCATAAATAGATTTTTGACAGAAGCAAATTATTGCATTGTTAATGTATTCATACAAAAAATTCTGTGGTTGAATTTCATTGCATGTTTTCTAATGTGTAAGAGTAGATCTCTTCTAAGGTATACCACCTTATGTTAAGAAACTATGTTATGAAATAGAGCTATTGGAAGGAGAATAAAGTCCACTTGTTTTCTGGTGCTACAGATTGAACCTGGGGTTTTGTGAATGGGTAGGCAAGTACTCTACAACTCTGAGCTTTTGTTAGACAGAGTTTTGCATGCAGCCCAGGGGGACCTAAAACTTACAGTGCAATCAAGGCCATCTTCCTGCTGCAGCTGCCTGAGTGGAATTCTTTTTAATGAAGTTGGCTTAGTTTTCTTAAACTTACGAACAGTATGGAAGCATTTATGTTTTATTTAATTGATATAAACAAATACAGAGCCAGGCATTGGTGCCTTATACCTGTAATCCTAGCTACTCAGGAGCCTGAGATCTGAAGATTGTGGTTTGAAGGCAGCCCCAGTAGAAAAGTCCATGAGACTCTTATCTCTAATAAAAACTAAGAAAAAGCTAGTAGTAGTGCAGTGGCTCAAGTGGTAGAGTGCTATCCTTGAGCAAAAGAAGCTCAGGGATAGTGCCCAGCACTGGCAGAAACAAACTTTCTTGCCTGGGCTGACTTTGGACCACAATCCTCAGATCTCAGCCTCCTGAATAGCTAGGATTATAGGTGTGAGCCCCTGGTTGCCCCGGCACTCATAAATTTCTAAGAGAAGTTAATTTCTAATTGTTAACGTAATGTTAACATAATGTAAAAAGTCAATTCTGTAAAAATCAACAACAAAAAAATCTATTAGGAGAGAAAATATTCTGCTAAGCTGTTAAACACAAATTATCTATTTGTAATCTTCCCTAATACATTTTCATATATAGTATTTAGTATCACTAAATACACATATTTAGTGATAGAAATATATCCAGACAGGAACTAAAAAATATCAGAACCACCATATTCTAGTACTTTTCCGAGTTTGGTAGCCTGCTTCTTGCACTATTAGCAAATTCCCCACCTACCTATTGCCAAATGTGAAATCAGCTGGCTTCTACTATGGTGGCTTCACTATATGATCTTCCTACTGTGCTTCCCTATGCCTTTGCAGATGACAAGTATGAATACCACTGTACCCAGCCATTGTGCTCCTTCCTCCTACTCCTAACTGGAATTATAGGTGTAAGCCGTGGTGGTCAGCCAGTCCTGGGGCTTGAAACTCAGGACCTGGACACTGTCCCTGAGCTCTTTTGCTTAAGGCTGGTACTTTACCAGTTGAGCTACAGCTCCATTTCTGGCTCTTTGCTAGTTAATTGGAGATATACTTTGCAGCCTGGGCTGGCTTCAAACTGTGATCCTCAGATCTTAGCCTCCTGAGTGGTTTAGGATTACAGGAGTGAGCCACTGGCACCTGGCTTTTGATTAGACTTAATTAAGATTTACAATGTAACATGTAATACTTGGACTCACATGTACAGTGAGTTATATAGTACAGTTGTAGGTCTTGATTTGTAGGTTTGGCTCATATGGTCATTGATAGCTTATAACATGAAAATTTGTAGATCTTTTGAAATAAGCAGTCACAATTTTTTGCTACATTTTAATTTTTTTATATTATTACATGGTTATGGGGGTTCACTGTGATATGCACATATATGGTCATATTTACCCCCCTCTACTGGTGTTTTATTGAAACTTTTAGATATTTTAATGTATATGTTTGATTTGTTAATTATCATTAAAGTGACTATAATATACTTATATAGATCTGAATGTGGTAATGCATGCCTGCAATCCCAGCATTCAGAAGCAGGAGTATCATATCATGAGTTTGAAGCCAGCCTAGCTATATGTGAGACCCTATTTTCCTCTCCCAGATACATATTATTGCCATAATATATTAATACATTACATATAATAATATATTCTTTTAAACAATATGTAATATATTATTTATGTATAATGTATACTATATATAATATTGTATACTATATAATTATATATATATATGTTTTGAGTCAGGGTCTTACTTTGTAGTCCATATGTCTTGTAACTTATGACCCTATTTTTGTTTCCCAAGTGCTGGCTCCAAATACTGGTATGATAAATATTTTAAGAACGATAAATCGTAGATTCCAACAGTATTAGCATTTATCTCTGAGATTACCTTCAGGATGTAGAAGTGTTTCTATAATGTGAGATGCACAAAAGTGAAGGCTAAATGACAAATGATTTTTCCTTCTCCCAGTGTAATTATGACTCAGGAGATGTAGGGTGACTCATGCTTGGAATTCAAAAAAGTTTGTAGTGATAGCTTTCTCCTTTCTCCTTTAAGAAGATCTACTATGGGTAGTACTCATGGTTAGTGGATTTTGGCTGGCGTGCGTTTTGGCTGGCGTGCGTGCGTGCGTGCGTGCGTGCGTGCGTGCGTGCGTGTGTGTGTTGTGTGTGTGTGTATGTGTATGTATGTATGTTTCTCTAGGGATCAAACCCAGGGCCTTATGCATGCTGAGCAAGTGTTCTACGACTGAGCTCTATCCCCAGTGCTTATGTTACCTCTTCACTGAATACAGAGCTTATTTTTCCTAGGGCATCATAGTACTCTGTGGAGAAGGCATTTTCATGTCTTGGTTCCTTCCTATTAATTCTGTGACACTGAATAACTGATTTAACTTTTCTATACTTCAGCTTCCTTATTTTTTTCTTTTTCAAAATTATTTTTTTTAATTTTAATTGTTACTATAAAGGTGATATACAGAACAATTATAGTTATATAAGTCAGGTAAATAGTACCCCTTCCCTCAGTTTTTCCCTCCCATCCCCACCCAGCTTCCTCATTTTCAAATGAGTATCACTAAACATTCTGCTTGGCAATGGCATGTAACTTCTATCTTTAGTTGTTTTAAAAACAGAAGTGGGCTGGGAAGGTGGCTCAGTGGTAGAGTGCTTACCTTGCATGCATGAGGCCCTGGGTTCGATCCTCAGCACCACATAAGCAGAAAAAGCTGGAAGTGGCTCTGTGGCTCAAGTGGTAAATGCTAGCCTTGAGCTGAAGAGCTGAGAGGGACAGTGCCCAGGCCCAGGCCCAGGTCCCACAACCGACCAAAAAAAGAAGGAGCAGGAGGAGGAGGAGGAGGAGAAAGGAAGGAAGGAAGGAAGGAAAGAAAGAAAGAAAGAAAGACGGAAGGAAGGAAAAGAAAGAAACAAACAAAACAGTTGCAGTGTTAGGATCAAACCTAAGGCTTTGTACATGCTAAGCCAGTGGTCAACCACTGAGCTACATTCCCAGCCTTTGTGTTTTTTTCAGATAGACTCTTCCCTTGTTTCTCAAACTGGCCTTGAACTGATGATCTTCCTGCCTCTACCTCTTGAATTCTGTGATTATAGGCAGTACTCCCATATCTAGTATTTCCACTCCCACATCTAGTATTTGGCTTTTATCAGCACATGAGAAGCTATTGTACAATAGCTTTATGTTTTATTTCCCAATGAATTGTTGATGATGATATTTATTAAACATTGAATCCTTTCTCTGTTTCTTTTTTCCTATAGGGTGAACTTTCTCATGATCAAGATGTGGTAGAATATATCATGAATCAGCCAAATGTTGTCCCACGAATCAATTCTAGGATTTTGACAGCTGAGCGAGAGTACCTGGATTTAACAGCAAGTAGTAAGGAGCATTTCAGAAACAAATTTTGGCGTTTTGATTTGTTTCATATTCTTTGCATTTATTCAGTTGTAATGTAAGATGACATCAATAATTTATGTTTAAGCTTACTGTGCTTTGATTTCTAAATTCATAAGAATTTCCTTCTAAGAAGATAATTTTTTTTCTGTATAAAATCTTGTTAACTTCAGAAAATACTCAGTGACACATAAGTGCCAATTAAACAAGCACTAATATAGATCTATTGTTGGTGTCCTGTGGCCATAGGCAATTAAGCAATTCTTTTTCTTGCTTTCATTGTAGAATCAGTGACCAATAATATCAATTAATATTTCAACTAATTTTACTCTGGAATTCTAATGACTTTAAAAAAAAAAAAGTTAGTTCTGCCTGGTGTGGTTGTGCATAGCTATAACCTCAGCAGCACATAGGAGGTTAAAGTAGGAAGATTGCATGCTGTGACCAGCATAGGCTACACAATGAGTTAAGAGACCAACCTAGAGTTCACTGTGTTTTGGGGTTTTTTGTTGTTTGTTTTTAGAGCTGGTTCATTAGATAAAATATGCATGCCATGAAGCTCAACCTTTTTCTTATAGTACTGGGGATCAAACCCAGGACTTCATGCATGCTATGCAAGTGTTCTACCACAGAACTGCAATCCCAGACAAAATCGCAGCTTTTTAAAATACATAATTTAGTGGTTTTTAGTTTATTCTCAAAGTTGTAGGCATCACCACTAATAAAAGAACACTGTTATTACCACAGAAAGAACCCATATACTGCTGAGAGTGGTGGTTTGTACTTGGGAGGCTGGGACAAGAAAATTGCAATTTTGAGTCTAGCTCTGGTTATGCACCAAGGCCCCCCCATAAGACAAAACAAAACAAAACAAAGCACACATATATCCATTAGTAGTCTCTCTCCATTCCTCTTCTTGCTCTTTGTCTTCCACTTTCAATTTCAGTTGGCATCTCTAAGAATGCTTTTTAGAAGCTAGGTTGAATCCATGTGTAGTTTGTGCTTTATATCTTCTGTTGTGATACTGAAGGCCACTTCAACAAACATTTAAATATAAGAAAGAGCTGTCAACATTTAACCTGTCATGATTCTTTCCTTGGTGGGGAAGGGAAGATATGAGGTATCATAACAACTGTTTGTCATTGTAGTTGAGTAGAATACAGATCTATTTATGGTTGTTACTTTATGGCATATGAAACTGCCATTCTGAAATTGAAACTCTTTTAGACAGATGAAAATACAAATATATGCTAATCTTTTAAATACATATGTATGTATGTAATAGTCATAAGCATAAATACAGAAGAAAATATAAATATAGACATATTTTTAAAGAAACTGCTCAGAAAGTGAGCTAAGTTATTTTCTTCAAAGCTAGTGTTAGCTTCTTATAAGAAGTTTTGGTGTTGGGTAAGGCAAGCAGAATTTAGGTTTTTCTTGGTGAAGGGTAGTGCATTAAGAAGGACTGTAGAAATGCCAAGTGAATTTCCTTTTCTACCAAGTGTTGTGGTAATGACCTCAGAAAACACTGCTGGGCCATAAGAGAGCTGTGTGGATGTTATTGAACCTAGTACAGGTGTCTGTGAAGAGGCATTGCTATCCTACCTTCCTTTCCTTTCTCCTCTTCCCTCTTTTGTCCAAGACCCAGACTCGAACTTGGTACCTCATACTTTTGCTCATTGGCTGGCTCTCTACTAACTGAGCCATGCTCCAACCCTTTATACTCCTGATTAAATGGTAACAACATCATTACTGAGGCTTCTTTAGCTTTTATGGTGCTGGAACCTTGCAAAATGTGTTACTTGTATTAGTTTCTCTGCAACAAAATATTTGGAAGAAGTCAACTTAAAAGGAAGAATCGTTTATTTTGGCTTATGGTTTCAACAGTTTTATCTTTTTTTTTTTTTTTTTTGTCGGTCGTGGGGCTTGAACTCTGGGCCTGGGCGCTGTCCCTCAGCTCTTCAGCTCAAGGCGAGCACTCTACCACTTGAGCTACAGCGCCACTTCCGGTTTCAACAGTTTTATCCTGGGTAGTTGGTTCCATTGTTTTGGTTGCTGTGCTAAGATAGAACATCATGTAAGGGACTACTTTGGTCCCAGTATTCCCTTAGAGGATCTGTCCCCAATGACCTAAGATTCCACCACCTCCCAGTAGTTCCACAGGCTGGTGTCCAAGCTTTTAACACTAGGGCTTTTGGGGGGGACATTCAAAATCCAAACTGTAAGATTGTCGTGTTCCTGCTTCATGTGATTCTGTGAAGCATGTCTGATTGCATAGGAAGCATTGTTGAATTAAAGGATAGATGATGAGTAGGTAACCAGGCAAGTGTTCTCAGTGAGAGTATCATGTTGTAACAGTGCTTAAGACTGGGGAGATTACTGCACACTAGACTGGAGAACATTTTTTTTTTTTTTTGGGTCCGGTCGTGGGGCCTGAACTCTGGGCTTGGGCGCTGTCCCTAAGCTCTTCAGCTCAAGGCTAGCACTCTACCACTTGAGCCACAGCGCAACTTCCAGCTTTTTTCTTTTTGCTTATGTGGTGCTGAGGAATCGAACCCAGGCCTCAGGCATGCAAGGCAAGCGCTCTACCACTGAGCCACCTTCCCAGCCCTGGAGAACATTTTGTAGCTAGGGATAAATTATGTGCTGAGTAATTTATAGCCAGGGAATGACTAGATGAAACTGAAATTTTATCAAGAGTGATCGGAAGGGAAATAGGAGCACTGCCATTGGACACTGATCAGAGAAGATAGATATATAAAACAAATGGAAATAACTTTTTCTGTTAAGATTAATAAATATAAAAATTGTGATTCAGCATATTTCCTGTACCCCATAGGAAAGGGAAGAACATACTCTAGTGGATGGACTAGGGAGGGAGAGATGAATTAAGACACTATTCTCCAGTGGGAATAAGAAGAGTAGAACATATATAGTGGTAACTATACAAAACATGAGTGTATTCATTTGTATTTTTAAGTGATTAATGGATTTATTTGTAAACTTGTTAAGTAAACACGGAACTTAATATACTTCACTTACACATTTTCATATGTGTCATAGTCAAAGAAGGGCATTAATTAAATATTAACAGTAGATTAATTGAGGCATATTTATTATGTATCTATTTCAATGTTTCTTTTTTTCCCCAGATAACTTCTTTGTGGATGATTATGCTCGATTTTCTGTCTTGGATTCCCAAGGCAAGACTGCTGCTTTAGCAAACAGTATGAACTATCTCACAAAGAAAGGTAATCTATCTGGGACTTACCTTGAATTTTAACACTTTTATTTTTTAATATTTGGAAGCATATTTATAATCTCAGTGTCCCTTGGGGAGATTCCATAATTTCTTTTATTAACTATTTCCTACAATACTTTGATTCAAGAAAATACTCGTTTTAAGTTTAATTCTTTATATATGTTTAAAAATTCAAATTCTATCTTCGTAAATTTTGTGTGTTAACTCTTATGGTTAAAAGGGAAAACTTTAGTTCAAAATGGAAAAAAATAATATAAAAACGAACTAATGAACTGAAAATGAGTTTCACTGGTCTTTTTAGTAACACAGGGTTGGTTTTATTTTAGTATTTGTAATTTTATTGTAGAAAAGCCTTTACACGAGCTGGGAAGGTGGCTCAGTGGTAGAGCGCTTGCCTTGCATGCATGAGGCCCTGGGTTCGATTCCTCAGCACCACATAAGCAGAAAAAAAAAGCCAGAAGTGGCGCTGTGGCTCAAGTGGTAGAGCTCTAGCCTTGAGCTGAATAGCTGAGGGATAGTGCCCAAACCCAGAGTTCAGCCCCACGACTGGACCCAAAAAAAAAAGCCTTTACACAATTTTAAACCGGTTTTTATGCAGTTATTTGGTTAAGGTAACATTGTGTCAAAAGAATTTTTTAGTTGGTCATGGGGCTTGAACTCTGGGCCTGGGCGCTGTCCCTCAGCTCTTCAGCTCAAGGCAAGAGCTTACCACTTGAGCCACACAGCCACTTCCAGTTTTCTGGTGTTTAATTGGAGATAAGAGTCTCATAGACTTTCCTGCCTAGGCTGGCTTTGAACTGTGATCCTCAGATCTCAGCCTCATGGAATAGCTAAGATTATAGGCATGAGCCACCAGTGCCCCGCTAGGAATTTTTTTAAGGGTAGACAGATTATTTTCCCCTCTGGTCATATTTACCATCCTTTCAAATAAGAAAAACACTGGATGTCATTTAAAACAGGTATTTTTATCCCTGCTGTGGTCTTTTCCTGAAAGGATTTCTGGTTTCCTATGTATGTGTATGTTTACACAATAACTACCAGGTTCTTCAAAGGAATTCTTTCTGAAGAGTCCTATAATGTGGTGGGAATAAAGAGCAGAAAGAGGCATGGGTCCTGTTAGCACCATTCAGTTTTTTTTACTTTCATAGTGGTTGTTAATTATAGAAATGACTTTTTCTTTTCTTCTACTCTTTTCCTTTTGCCTTTGTGCAGGAATGTCCTCCAAGGAAATCTATGGTAACACAATACTTCAGAATGTTCTATTCTTTTTCTTAGTTATCTTATGGGGCTTCAGGGACCACTGTTATTCAGAATTTACTGACACTTTGTGATGTTTCTGGAACCTGTGGGTAACAATACACTATCAGTGTAGAAAATTTGTCTAAATGTTTATAAAGAATAATATTTCAGAAAGTTACAAATTAATAAGATTAAAGACTACACTATATTACTTACAGGTTTCATTTATATACTAACAAATCCCAGACCACAGTATAGTTGATCAGTGCATGTGGAATGTTACCTTTATTTTAAAAGAGAAATTTCACTAATTTTGCTTTATTAAACTGTTCATTTTCTTATTTTTTGCATGGTTTTCAGAAATTATTTGGATTAATAAGTGTCAAAACATAGAATGTGACTGTTTCTTTCAGTCAATTTGTTATTTCTGTTTTTCTACAGATGATTCTTTTATTAGGCCAGTAACTTTTTGGATTGTTGGTGATTTTGATAGCCCTTCTGGACGGCAGTTACTCTATGATGCTATTAAACATCAAGCAAGTATCTTGGACTTTATTCTGATTCTTTCTGTTTTTGAGTTGTCCGCCTGATTATCCTTATGGGATTGTCTAGGGACCTTGGGAGATCTGCTTTTTCAGTGCTTGAGGGAAAGGAACATATAACTTCATCTGTCCTAAGTAAATTATGATGCTGAGTAGTTAAGAAATTGATTCTTTGGGTGAAGGTCATTGTCAGGAGGAAATGTCAGGATTCTGTTTCCTGAGCGGTTTAATTTGCAGTTTCATCCAGACTTCACAACTGTCTTGTGTCCACTTTCTACTGTGTATCCTAGTAAGACTTCTGAAGAGAAGAAATACCCAAGACGTTTCAGTGTCACAGTGGTATCTAGTATTTTTTTAAAATCGTTTATGGGAATTGTCCAGATGCTGTTAGTAATTTAAGGTTAAGTTGAGGAATTATAGTATGGGGTACTCTAATGCTAATTGATAGACTGTTCAAATGGTTCTAGAGGAGGGAACCTGAAAAGGAAGGCTGAGGTTTTTAAAGTTTTATTAAGGTAGATTATAGTTCATATGTAGTCTCACTAAGTGAACACACCTATGTGACACTCCCCTGATGAGATCAAGAAATAGAGAATTCATAAAAGCCTTTTCAAACTTGCATCCAAGTCACTACCCACTCCTGAATCTCTTTCTGATGTCATAGAGTAAGTTGTGTTTTACTTTATTTAATTGGAAGCTTTTAATATATATTTATTAGAATTTGGCTTCTTAATACTTTGTAAACTTAATCTGTGAGGTAGTGTTAAAAGTTCATTTTCATTATATAGCATTGTATTATATAACTGTACCACATAGTATTATTTTGTTTAAATCTATTTGATTATTTGTAAGGAGTACTGCTATTAATATTTTTATAGACATCTTTTTATGACACATGAGTAAAATTTATGCTGCTTATATTTTTGATTCAGACCCCAGTTTTATGGGGTCCTAGGTATCGTCTCCCAAGTAGGCTTCCTATTTTCATCCAGGGAAGATTCATTGTTGCCAGGCATTTGCAAAGGCTGTACAAGTAAAAATGGCCTTCAGCAAGACCCTGAAGAATGGTTGGGGAGAAAAGATGTTATATAGTTAAAGTCCACATGCTAGCATGATGTGTATTAGAAGAAAACAAATGTGTTAGAAGAAAAATAGGGCACAGATGTTCTGTGATATGTACTGTATCTATAAGATGGTAAGAAATGAAGTTGGATAAATATGGTAATTCATGCCTATAAATGGCTTCTTGAGAGGTGGAGACTGGGAAGATTGCAGTTAGAGGCTACTGCTGACAAAAGTTATCAAGATCTATATCAATAAGCCAGGCAAGGTGGTTAGTGCCTCTGATCTCTGTTATGTCAGGAGGCCATAAGTAGAAGGATTTTGAAGGCATGACTATCTGTAGCATCCAAGTTTTATACAAGTATAGAAAACTATTGAGAGACATGTAATTTGCTACTTGGAAAGTGAATAATAATGTTAATGCTTATTTTTAAGTTCAAAACATGTACTGTATAACTCTTATGTACTGTTTTGTAAATAGAAATCCAGTAACAATGTTAGGATAAGCGTGATCAATAATCCAAGCCAAGAGATTAGAAATGAGAACACTAGAATCTTCAGAGCAATCTGGGCAGCTCTCCAAACACAAACTTCCAACTCAGCAAAGAACTTCATCACCAAAATGGCCAAAGAGGAGACTGCAGAGGCCCTGGCTGCCGGAGCCGACATTGAGGAGTTCTCTGTGGGGGTAAGACTGTGTGTTATAAGGCTGCCTTTTTCTGTTAATTTGCCATTGATATTCTCTTCCCCTGGACTGATGTACCCTATTCATAAACTGAACTTGTGAGCCATGGAGGATTTTACTTTTAAATTTGGAAGACTTTCTAAAAAGTAATTATATCACTTTCATTTCCAAATTTGCCTACTGTAAAATATGCATGATAGAAGTATGTTTTAAAACAATACCATTTATTTTGTACAGTTTTAAAAGACAGTATTTGATTTTTGTGTGACTTATGAGTTAGAGGCTTGTATTTTTTTATATCTTTTCAGTAAAAGCCCATGCTCTTTTTTTTTGCTTTTAACTAATTTTTTTCTTTTGGTCGGGGATGGGGAATGAGGGGACTTGAATTTAAGGCCTGGGTACTGTCACTGAGCTCCTCTGCTCAAGGCTAGTGCTCTACTACTTTGAGCCACAGTACCACTTCCTGTTTTTGAGTAGTTAATTGGAGATAAGAGTCTTACTCAGACTTTTCTGCCTGGATTGGCCCTGAACTGCAATCCTCAGATCTCAGCCTCCTGAGGATTACAGGCATGAGCCACCAGTGCCCGGCTTTTACTTATTTGATAGCATTTTATTATTTTTAAACTTATTATAAAATGGGTACTTAGTTCCAGTTAGAGAAAATAGTTGTCTTGACATAAACAAGATTTAAAAATACAAAATAAAATTATCATGGAGAATAGACTGCCAATTGAAAAAGTAACATGAAAACCTAAGAAAAAGAAATACAAATAGTTGCTTTTGAGGAGGGGGATGGGAGAGAAGATGGACAGTTGTGAAATTGTAATGTTAGTTATGTTAATGTAATTATGAGTAATTACATTTCATGCAATGTAGTTATTTCATGAAAAGCACATTTGTGGTTTGTTCATGATGATTATTAATTTTTTTGGTTTGTTGAATAACAGTGACTTTTCCTTAAAAACAATTACTTTTCCTAGGGCATGGATTTCAGTGTTTTTAAAGAGGTCTTTGAGTCTTCCAGTATGGATTTCATTTTGTCTCATGCCGTGTACTGCAGGGATGTTCTGAAGCTGACGAAGGGACAGAGGGCAGTGATCAGCAATGGAAGGGTGAGGACTTGTTGAGTTAGGTCTGTAGTAGGCTTTGCATCAGGCTCCTGCAAGCTGGTAGGATAAACTCTCCCAACAGAGCCACTCACCTCTTAAAGATGATTACTACTTCACTAAGGATTTCTGTCCATTATTTACCCCCTGCCCCCCCCCAAAAAAAGTGTTTTTACATAACTTTCCCCTTGTGGAGGCCTTCCTTCTGTTTGTCCTGTCCTACCATTGAGAGAATGTGTTGACTGTCAGAACAGAAATCATTACAGTCTTTGACACAGAAAGTAGGCTTTGTTACTGATATTTGGTGGACAATTGTGAAAACTGCATGCTACCTATTTAATTCAGATTGCTTACCTGTAAAAAATAATGTGAAATGTGTAAATCTGCCTGTATATGAGGAAATAATAAGTTAAACATATAACTGAATGATTCAGGCTTTTTATTTTTTCATTGATTTATTTAGACACATATCACTCTTATTCTTTAAGTCCCTTTGGCCTGTTCTGTAGCCTGTGGCTAGCTTAGACTTGCCCTTAACTTCAGCCCTTGGCAGACTGCTTACAGCTCTGACTCCTGTTCTTCTTTGTAGATCATTGGGCCACTGGAGGAAAGTGAGCTCTTTAATCAAGACGATTTCCACCTTCTAGAAAGTATCATCTTGAAAACTTCAGGACAAAAAATAAAATCTCATATTCAACAACTTCGGGTAGAAGAAGATGTGTAAGTTGGGTGTAGGAAAAATGAACTAGTTTCTATCATATATGTTATATATTAGATATTTCCTCATTGGTCAAAGTTCAAGTTATATATTGTCACATACACTACTTAATATAAGGGGTTTTATTTCCAGCTTTAAACTGCTATACTGCTCAAATTTTTATGATTCTGTTGAAAGAAGCTAATTTGTTTTATAGGCTGCTATTTAAAGAACTAAATTCATTCTCAATTTGTATTTTATCTTTTGGTTCTGGAAAGTTTCAGACGTAGGTAGAAGTAAAGGAGGGTAATTTATTTTTTACTTGAAGAGAAATTATCAATTATCTGAATGATAATTCAGTTTTATTTGGTTCAGTAGAGGAGAAACAGGTTAAATGCGTCTTTCCTCTACTTGCCAGGACAGAATACTCAATGTTTCTCTTACATCCTCCAAAGGTGATAAGTTCACTATTGTTGGTTTTTAAACTTTTCATTCTTTTAATGTTTTTATTAGCTTAAGTATCATAGTGGACTGTTTCTCTTGAAGGAAGAAAATAAATTGCTTAAGTGGACCATTATCTGATTTTTCTGCATTAAATATCACATGGATATGTAGTTGGAGTAGACTGCTTCATTTTTTGAGACCTTCTTATACCTTTTTCTATAGCTGCTTTTGTATTTATGTATCTGCCTAGAGTGCACAAGCCTTCTAGTTTCTTCACATCCTTACCAGCACCTTTATTTCTTGTTTGTTTTTTTAAAAAGCCATACTCATAGGTATCAAGTTGTATCACCTTGTAGTTTTCTTTTCATTTTTGCAATGCTTAGTATGCCTTTTCACAGGCATATGTCATATGTCTTTGGGAAAATATGTATTTGAAAGTATATATTTAAACCCTTTGCCTTTTCTTTTCTTGTCCCAGTACTGGGGCTGGAACTCAAGGTCTGATTACCTGATTACTATCCCTTAGCTTTTTCACTCAAAGCTAGCCATCTACCACTTGTAACAGCTTCACTTCCAGCTTTTTGGTGGTTAATTGCAGATTAGAGACTCACTGACTTTCCAGCCCCATCGAGCTTTGAACTTTGATCCTCAGATCTCAGCATCATGAATAGCTAGGATTATAGGCATATGTCACCATGTCATGATAATGTACCATTACTGTGCAGTCTTATTAAAATTAGTGATTATACCACTATATTATATGTGTTTATTATATTCCATATTTATATTATATTTTGTTTATTTACTTACTTATTATGCCAATCCTAGTACTTGAAATCAGGGTCTGGGAGCTGTCCCTGAATTTTTTTGTTCAAGGTTAGTGCTCTATTATTTGAACCACAGTTCCACTTGCAGCTTTATGGTGGTTATTTAAGAGTCTCCTAGACTTTCTTGCCTGTGCTGTCCCTGAACCATAATCCTCAGATCTCAGCCTCCTGAATAGCTAGGATTCAAGCATGAGCGACCGGCACATGGCTTATATTTTTTATTTTTATTTTTTATTTTTTGGTCGGTTGTGGGGCTTGAACTCTGGGCTTGGGCGCTGTCCCTGCGCTCTTCAATTCAAGGTGAGCATTCTGCCGCTTGAGCCACAGCACCACTTCCGGTTTTTTAGTGGTTTTATTGGAGATAAGAGTCTCATGGACTTGCCTGCCAAGTCTAGCTTTGAACCGTGATCCTCAGATCTCAGCCTCCTGAGTAGCTAGGATTACATAGGTGTGAGCCACTGTCACCCGGCTTTATAATAGATTTTTAAGTAACAAAGTTTGCAACCAAATTATATAACCCTAGTTTTGTGTTTTTATATTATATATTATATATGTATAAATTTAAAAGTTGGGAATAATTATGAACTACAGTGTCATAACTTATTTCTTGATAATGATAATTATGGTAATTTGTTTCTTAGTATTTTTCCTCAACAATTTCTCAGTAACAGATTGCCCTAACAATCCTAAAAAGTAATAGCATTAGTGAAAAGAGTGTGCTGGAGATGTAAATAACACTAATATGTTTAGCCAGCACAGTATTTGTAAGAACCCTGCAAAGTAGATCTTTTCTACACTTTACATATAGAAAAATGAATAACATCTCCAAGATTATAAAGCCATTCACTACCAAATCAACCCTTCTCTCATGCCTGTTAGCATAAAGGAGTATGCTTCTGGCTTTTGGCACTTGAGCTGTTAAAGGCAAAACCTTATTAAAAAGATACTAAGCTGTTATAACTCCATCTTTCAGGGCAAGTGACTTGGTAATGAAGGTGGATGCTCTCCTGTCAGCTCAACCCAAAGGAGATGCAAGGATTGAATACCAGTTTTTTGAAGACAGCTACAGGTATAGAATTCATGTTGAATTTGTGTATGCTCCTAAATATTAACTCTCTTGTTGGTTGTGGGGCTTGAACTCAGCCTGGGCACTGTCCCTGAGCTCTTCAGCTCCAGATGAGTGCTCTACCACTTGAGCCACAATGCCACTTCTGGTTCTCTGGTGGTTAATTGGAGATAAGAATCTCACACTTTCCTGCCTGGGCTGGCTTTGAACCATGAACCTCAGATCTCTGCCTCCTGAGTAGCTAAGATTACAGGCATGAGCCATTGGTGCCCGCCTTGGCTTGTTCTTTTGAAGATAGGGTCTTCCTAACTATTTTACCTGCGTTGCCTCAAGCCTCCATCCTTCTTTGCTTCCCAAGCCAATTTGTTTGGCAACTCCCTTTCCTGCCCGGGCTGGCTTTGAAGCGCAGTCCTCACATCTCAGCCTCCTGAGTAACTAGGATTACAGGCGTGAGCCACCGGTGCCTGGCTAACTCCTACATTCACTAGGTGGAATGCTGTATTTGCCTTATTGCTTAATATATGTGTGTATAGATAATACATATAGTCTTTACGTGTTGCATAAACACACATGCACTGAAACCATTTTCTCAACCACTTGAACGAAAGCATATTTCAGGCAAAATGTAACATGATAATATGTTTCCAGCAGGCCCAATGATTGGGGTTTTTTTAACTTAAAAAAAATATATATGTAGTTATACAAAGGAATTGCCATTCATCAGAGCAGTTTTTGATTACAGTGCCTCTTGATCAATGTCAATCCTTCTAACATTCTCACCCACCCCTCCCACACACTCCTTCCCTCACTGTTCTTAATTTTTTTTGCCATTTAACAAAGCAGTGTATTTATAAAATGCATCTTGATTTGTCATCCCTTCAACATCATCACCCCCTTCGACCCACCTCTTCGCTTTTTCTCAGTTCTGTCTGCTTTCTTGTCTGCATTCTATTCCCTTCCCCCATTAATTTTTCTGCCCTTCTCTCCTTGGTCCCCCACCTCTTTCAAGTGCCATTTCCTGTCACTTAATTTGTTGGGCTTTGACTTAGTAGTTCTAAAGAATTACACTATTTGCACTCTCAATAGAGTCTAATATACTTCTGCTTATTTGTGTGTAACTGCTTGGTTACTACTCAGTGTTTACTTATAGTTTTGTGTGTGTGTGTGTGTGTGTGTGTGTGTGTGTGTGTTGTTGTCAGTCCTGGGGTTGAACTCAGAGCCTGGATGCTGTCCCTGAGCCTCTGTGCTGAAGGCTAGCACTCTACCACTTGAGCCACAGTGCCACTTCTGCCTTTTTCTATGTATATGGTACTGAAGAATCGAACCCAGGGCTTCATGCATGCTAGGCAAGATTCTACCACTAAGCCACATTCCCAGCCCCTTACTTATAGTTTTACAGGCACATTCTAGCACTCACAAATGAGGGAAACCATACAATCTGTTTCTCTGGGTCTGGCTTACTTAATATAATTTTTTCAAAGTCTTTCCATTTCCTTATGAATGGTACATTATCATTTTTTCTAATGGATGAGTAGAATTCCATTGTGTATATACCACATACACCACATTTTCTTGATACATTCTTCCAAATGGTATTTATTTTTTGGGCTAGTCCTGGGGCTTGAACTCAGTGCCTGGATGCTGTCCCTAAACTTTGCGCTAAAGGCTAAAGTTATACCGCTGGAGCCACAGCTTCTTCCAACTTTTTGATGGTTAATTGGAGATTAAAGTTTCAAGGACTTTCTTGCTGGGCTGTCTTCAAATCATGATACTGAGATCTCAGCCTCCTGAGTAGCTAGGATTACAAACATAAGCCACTGGTTGCCCTGTCCCCAATATATATATATATATATATATATATATATATATATATATATATATATATAATTTTTTTTTTTTTTTTTTTTTGGTCAGTTGTGGGTCTTGAACTCAGGGTCTAGGTACTGTCTCTGTGCTTGTTTGCTCAAGGCTAGTACTCTACCACTTTGAGCCATAGCTCTACTTCTGGTTTTAAAGTGGTTAATTGGAAGTAAGAGTCTCATAGGGACTTTCCTGTTTGGACTGACTTTGTACTGTGATTCTTAGGTCTCAGCCTCCTGAGTAACTAGGATTATAGGTGCAAACTACCACTGGTGCTTGGTCCCAAATGGTTTTTTTTTTTTTTTTTTATTGTAAAGCTACTATACAGAGGGTTACAGTTACATGAGTGAGGTAATGAGTACACTTCCTCTTGAACATTGTTACCCCCTCCATTGTTTTCCCCCTACCATCCCCTCCCTCCCTCCCTTCCCCGAGGTCCAAATGGTTTTTAAGAAGAACTTTATGCAGTTACCTGGCAAGTCTCTCCCTCTCTCTCTTCCTCTCTTTTCCTGCCCCCAGGTGCTAGTGATTGAGCCCAGATGCTATACATGCTAGGAAAGTATTTCACCACTGAGCCACCATCACCATCGTTTCTAATAATTTATGTCATATGTGACTCCTGGCTAACCCCTCTTGGATTTTGCTACCAGCACCAAGGTTGTACCCTTGCAGCACCCATTTTCTCTATTCTTCCACTTCTAGGAAGTTGATGGCCAAAACAGTGGTCCTGAGCTATAATCCATGTCTGATTTTAGGCCACTCTTTTCTCTCCTTGCCTCCATGACTTTTATATCATTAAAATTCCCTAATTACATGTTGTATGATGATGGAGAAATTCCTACTGGGATGATGTTAGTAAAATGAATGTTTGCCATATTTAAAATAGAAGGTTCTCATTTTACTAGGAATAAAAGTGACAGAACCATCAGTTCTATTACACCCTTACCTTCATAATGAATTCCAGAATATCATTTGTGAGCTTGTTTGAAGTGTAGTCTTTTTTTTTTTTTTGGGGGGGGGGGGAGTCAGTCATAGGGCCTAAACTCTGGGCTTGGGTGCTGTTCCTCAGCTCTTCAGCTGTAGACTAGTGCTCTAGCACTTGAGCCTCAGCCCCACGTCTGGCTTTTTCTGCTTACGTGGTGCTGAGGAATCGAACCCAGGGCCTCATGAGTGCAAGGCAAGTACTCTACCACTGAGCCACCTTCCCAGCCCCTGAACTGTAGTCTTTGACATTATACCTGACCTATTGAATCAGTGTCTATATCTTAACAAGATCCCCCTTGGTGATTTCTGTGAACATAACGTTGGTGAAGCACAGTATATCAATTTTGATATTTGCTTTACTAATCCTAGGTACAAGTATATAATCTTCAAGTTTGTTCCCATGTCACTTTTGACTTTATTCTGGACTTTTACCAATATAGCACGTATATTCAGACACTGTAGTGCTATTGTTCCCATTTCTACACCAGTATTCCTTTTTTTTCTTGGTTTTTGTTTTTTTGTTTAGTTTTTTTTTTTTGGATCCGGTCATGGAGCCTGAACTCTGGGCCTGGGCGCTGTCCCTCAGCTCTTCAGCTCAAGGCTAGTGCTCTACCACTTGAGCCACAGCGCCACTTCCGGCTTTTTTCGTTTTGCTTATGTGGTGTTGAGGAATCGAACCCAGGTCCTCAGGCATGCAAGGCAAGCGCTCTACCACTGAGCCACCTTCCCAGCCCCCCCTTTTTTTTTTTTTTTTTTTTTTCTCGGTCGTGGGGCTTGAACTCTGGGCTTGGGCGCTGTCCCTCAGTTCTTCAGCTCAAGGCGAGCACTCTACCACTTGAGCTACAGCACCACTTCCGGTTTTCTGGTGGTTTATTGGAGATAGGAGTCTCACAGTCTCTCCTGCCCGGGCTGGCTTTGAACCGCGATCCTCAGATCTCAGCCTCCTGAGTAGCTAGGATTACAGGCGTGAGCCACCAGCGCCCGGCTTCCCCAGTCCCTTTTTCTTGGTTTTGTCTTGCCTCTTGTTTTAGATTGTGGAGGTAGCTGAAGGCCTCACCTTGTCAGTATCTGGACACCCTTCTTGTTGATCTCCTAGAGCAGTGTGCTTATAGGGACATGACAAACCACAGGGAACTGTCCAAGCCTGGTACAGACTGGCTGACCAGTATGTGGTCTGTTTGTTCCCTTTTTGAAAGTTGTTTATACAGTACTTTTTGCTAATGATTTTTCTCCCTTAATCCTAGAATAGCTGAGATCCTGTATACAAATGAATGAATGAGTCAATGAATGAATCAATGATAAAAAAAAAAACCAAACCAAAACACCAAAGTATATATAAATGTTGACAATAACATGGTGGAATTTATTTTTTGATCTTGTAAATTTAGTTTTTCAGGAAAGGAAGTTGACAAAGCATATTAGCCCCACAAATACCTGTATCCTGTCACTCTGTATGTCTAGTACTTAGCCTCTAAGGAAATATATGTATCTGGAAAAAGCTGGATCTATAAATTATTTATAGGTTAAAAGAACAGCTTGAGCTAAGTGTTGGTTCAGATCTGTAATCCTAGCTATTGAAGAGGCTGAGATCTGAGGATCATGGTTTCAAGCTGGCCCGGGCAGGCAGGAAAGTTGTGATACTCTTTTCTCCAATAAACTATTAAGAAAAAGCTGGAAGTGGCTCTGTGGCTCAAGTGATAAAGTACTAACCTTTAGCAAAAAAATTTAAAGACAGTGCCCAGGTCCTGAGTTCAAGCCCCAGGACCTGGACAAAGAAAAAAAAAAGACAAAGGTCATGGCACATTCTCTTTAGGATGATTTATTTGTAATATCTTGAGACAATCAACTTTATGTTGAAGTGGTGGGGGAAAGGAAGAAATTGTTTTAAAGTTGCAAGTGTTCTGTAGTTGCAAGTAATTTTTTTTTTTTTGGTTGGTCCTGAGGCTTGAACTCTGGGCCTGGGCACTGTCCCTCAGCTCTTCAGCTCAAGGCAAGCACTCTACCACTTGAGCCATAGCATCACTTCTGGTTTTCTGAGTGGTTTATTTGAGGTAAGAGTCTCGCAGACTTTCCTGCCTGGGCTGGCTTTTAACCATGATCCTCAGATCCCGCCTCCTGAGTAGTTAAGATTACAAGCATGAGCCACTGGCACCTGGTGCAGGTAATCTTTATATGGGCCATTAATAAAAATGATGAAAAGCAAAATCATTGAGGTTATGAGATTTTGTGATTATATTTTGTTTGTTTTTTGTTGTTGTTGTTCACATTTTTCTGAAATAATAGATTCCTTTCAGTTTTAATTAATTTGCTTGCTTGCTTCATTAAGTTATTCACTGTAGTGTTAGAGACTCAACCCAAAGCCTCAAGCATGCTAAGCATCTAGCTGTGTAGCTATATAGTTTGAGCTATATCCTCAGAACTTTTCAGTTTTATTAGCACTTATTACTTTTACAGAATAATGGGATTAATTATGACATTTTCATATACATATATGGTGTACCTCAATTGTGATCATCTCTTTCCTATTACTGTTCTCTCCACCACAAAAAACAACAAACAAACAAGAACACCTTATCATTTTTTTTTTTTTTGGTCCAAGACTGAGACTCAAACTTGGTACCTGAAGCTTTTTCTCATTGCCTCGTGCTGTACCAACTAAGCCATGCCTCTAACCTCATCTTTTTCATATGTAAGGTAATGAGTACACATTTCCTTTCAAACAGTGTTACCCCCCTCCCTTGTTTTCTCCTGTTTAAACTAGTTTTTATTATATTATTTTTTTGGGGGGGGTCCGGTCATGGGTCCTGAACTCTGGGCCTGGGCGCTGTCCCTCAGCTCTTCAGCTCAAGGCTAGTGCTCTACCACGTGAGCCACAGCGCCACTTCCGGCTTTTTTCTGTTTGCTTATGTGGTGCTGAGGAATTGAACCCAGGGCCTCATGCATGCAAGGCAAGCGCTCTACCACTGAGCCACCTTCCCAGCCCCTTAAACTAGTTTTTACATATGAGAAAAGACATTTGTCTTTCTAAGTCTGGCTTATTTCATTTAACATGTTAGTTTCCAGTTTTATCCATTTTATTGCAAATGACAAAATTTCTTTCTTATGACTGAATAATACTACATTGTATATAGATAATATGTATGTATGTGGGTGTATGAGTAGATAAGTGTGTGTATGTATATACGTACATACATACATACACACATAAATATATTACATCTTCTCTAACCATTTATCTATTGATGGGCACCTAGATTAATTCCATGACTTTACTATTGTGAATAGTGCTGCAGTAAACATATGTGTGCAGGTATCTCTATTATATACTGACGTTGATTCCTTCAGGCGTATTCTCAATACAGGTGTAACAGCATCTCAGAACTTTTTTTTTAATGATATATTTGTTCTCCCATCATCCCCTTCTTTCCTTGAAATGAAAGAACTTATATCAGGCGTGGTGATATAGATATCTTTTCAGCACTTCGAATGTGGAAGTAGGACGAGTGTAAAGTTGAGGCCAGCCTCATCTGTATATTAACCAGGTCTTTATATAGCAGGACTCTGTCTCAAAAAACAATAAATTAGGAAAATACTCAATTTGGTTAAATGTAACTTCAAGCTAATTTTCTCTTATTTCTTTTGTTTTTTTAGCTGCTGTTACCTTTTTCACTTTGCTCATGGGTGGTACTCTACCGCCTGAGTCACACCTCCACGTTAGCTTTTTGCTGGTTAATTGGAGATGAGAGTTTCTCAGATTTGTCTATCTGTTGTGTTTTTGAATCCCAATTCTTAGATCTCAGCCCCCTGAATAACTAGGATTATAGGTGTTAGCCACCTGTGGGGTTGGTTCTGACAAAAAATTTTCAGTGTATTTTGTAAAACTTAATCATAACTTGTCATCTCGAAGCCCAAGTTTTTTAGATCTGAAGTTTCTTGAAATGTTAAGAGACCTGGAGGTCTGATAGGTTATTTGAACCAAAGATTCACCATACTTAACCTTAATTTCCTGTGCCCTCCACATTAATGTTTTATTCCTTTTTGTCTTCATAGCGCAATTAAGCTGAGACCCAAGGAAGGAGAAACATACTTTGATGTTGTGGCTGTCATTGACCCTGTCACCAGAGAAGCACAGAGACTTGCCCCGTTGCTCTTGGTAGGGACTGCTTCAGCGGCAGTTCACACTGCCATGTGTCCTGTGATTTCCTTTATGCTCTATTTGTATCATATTCACCTTCTAGAGGCATTGGGAAATGCTGCAGGACATTTGGTGCAGAGCCATAAAGACTGACAATGGCTCTAAAACCAACTTCCTAACTTTAGCAAGTTGATTGAGTTTTGCTGGCTACTTTATATAAGTTTAAAAAATGATTGACATAAGTTAATTTATACTGCATTATATTTTATAATGATAGAAGTTAAAAAGGGTAAAAGTTTAATTCTAATTTTACTTTCCTTTTTTATAACTATCATGGACTTTTACTGTAGCATGTCTTTTAGTTTTGTTATAAGATATAATTTCTGCTGGGCACAGTGGCTCACACCTGAAATCCTTGCTACCTAGGAGGCTGAGATCTGATAGTCTCAGTTGTAAACCAGCCTTGGCAGGAAAGTCCCCACGAGACTCTTATCTCTAATTAACCACTCAAAAACTGGAAGTGGTGCTATGGCTTAACATGGTCGAGTACTAGTCTTGAGCAAAAGAGCTCAGGGACAGTGCACAGGCACTGAGTACAAGCCTCATGACTGACCAAAAGAAAAAAAATATATAATCTTATTCCATTTACAAGAACTCTAACCAAAACAGTCACTCTGTTAAGTCTGTGTTAGCAATTTTGCCCAGTGCCTTGTACATTCTAAGCAGGGGCTATACCACTGAGCTTCGTTTTTCCTCCTGGTTTGAGTTTTTTTTGTTAGAGATTTGTTTTTGTTTTTGTTATTTTAGGAGAGCATCTCATTGTGTAGCCAATGCTTACCTTGCACTCAACAGTCCTCCTGCCTCAGCCTCCTAAATGCTAAGGTTACACATATGTACCATCTAATGTGACTCTAGTTGCACTTATTTTTTATTTTTGATGGTAGCAGGGGTTGAACTTGGGGACCCGTGCTTGCTAGACAGCACTTTTTTTTTTTTTTTTTTTTTTTGGTCGGTTGTGGGGCTTAAACACTGGGCTTGGGCGCTGTCCCTGAGCTCTTCATCTCCAGGTGAGCACTCTACCACTTGAGCCACATCGCCACTTCCAGTTTCCTAGTGGTTTATTGGAGATAAGAGTTTCAGGAACTTTCCTGCCCGGGCTGGCTTTGAACCGAGATCCTCAGATCTCAGTCTCCTGAGTAGCTAGGATTACAGACATGAGCCACTGGTGCCCGGCTAGTGCTATCCCACTAAAGCCAGGTCCCAATGCCTTTTTGCTTTAGCTATTTCTGGGGTAGTCTCACATTTATGCCTGTGCTGATGCATATCTCAATTCTATTTATACTCAATTCTATTTATACTCTCCATATAACTGAGATGATAGGCACACATCACTACTTTCCAGCTATTGGTATCTGCTTCCCAAATACGATTATAAACATGAGCTACCATGGCAATTCTAGCTGAGTTTCTTTTTTTTAAGGAGACATTTTACTAATATATACGATCTAACCTTTTTTGTGTTTGTAGTGATGTTTTAACAGACTTTTATTTATGAATTATAACAGTGAGTTCTTAAATATTCTATGTATAGATATTCATCATTTATCTTCCTGCAAACTCTATATTAACCTGTCTTTATGTGAGAAGTATTTATCTTCACTAGTCTACTTCCCCCATAGCCTCCTCTTCTGCCTTGTTTTTGCCACACCATTAATTTTGCTAGTGTCCACTTAATGACAGTTACTATCTTTATATTGTTTCTTGAGATAATGAACATTCTTTCTCTTATTCAGTATCAAATAGTATATTTTTGAAGAGAAAATTTGAATGATTTTTCATCTGGTTTGTTCTTTTAGGTTTTGACTCAGCTGATAAACATGAATCTAAGAGTATTTATGAACTGCCAATCTAAACTTTCGGACATGCCTTTAAAAAGGTAAAGCATGTATTGTATCTAAGGAAGCAATTTTTTAAAATGGCATCTAATCCAAAAGCTAGTACTGATGATAATGAATTAAGTGAATGTTACTCTAATCAGCTTAACAAACATTGTATGGACACAGGAGCATCTAGGTGGAATCAACTTAGGCTGCTTACATGTATACTTTCCATTTAAAAAAAAAACCCAAACAGTGGTTATTTCAAGTTGCAATATGTATGTTAGAGGAAGATAGCTTATGCTCATTAACATGATCTTACAAAAGTGCATAGGCCTAGCTAAACTTGGGAATGGATCCTTCATGGCAGAAGTAGCATAGTAATAATAATAGAGGTAGTATAGGGTAGCACAGATGGCTATGATCAGTTCCTCACTTGTAGGTTTGCTGTGTCCTGTCAGTTATACTAAATAGATTAAATTTGCAAGTGACCAATGAGATTTCAGTGCCTACTATTATCCTGTTTGAAGAAATATTTACATTATTATATGCAGTGTTTTCAGGGCTAGCCTGAGAGCCAAGTCATTATTTAGGATTTAGATTTTTGAGAGACAGATGAATTCCCAAAGCAAAAAGTGCTCAGGAAGTGCTTGTGACCCCAACAGCAGACATCACATTCTGGTATCCTACCCTTCTCCCTTCTCTTTCATCTGCATCAGCACTGGGAGGCATCACTAGGCCAGAAGATGATCTTGTGAACTCCTTTTCCAATCTAGGAGGATATCCCTCCAAGTCCAGTTTGTTGCTCACCTAAATGGATGCTTATAAACTCAAGGACAGTAATTTTGTGGAAAGATAAAAATTGTATACTTCTCCTTTTGTTTCAGCTTTTACCGTTATGTCTTAGAACCAGAGATTTCTTTCACCTCAGACAATAAGTTTGCTAAGGGTCCAATAGCAAAATTTTTGGATATGCCACAATCTCCATTGTTCACTCTGAATTTGAACACACCTGAAAGTTGGATGGTAGAATCTGTCAGAACACCGTATGATCTTGATAATATTTATTTAGAAGAGGTAAGAATGTCATTCCAGTACCTAATTATTGGTAGAAAACCAATTTATGTTGTGATGTTAGCTGATTCTGAACATCATTGTTCAGGTATATATTACATCTTTGTTCATACCCAATAAAGAGGATTTGACATATTGACAGAACTCTGCAGCTGTCATAGGGATCTAATTTTAGTTCTTTATCACCATAAGACTCAGCTCCAACCTCATTAGTAATCACTCCCCATTATACACGTTCTAATCTGCTTTCTGTCTCTGTAGTTTGGCCTGTTGTGGTATTATATATAGATAGAATCATAGTTTTTTTTTTTTTGTCGGTTGTGGGGCCTGAACTCTCGGCCTGGGCGCTGTCTCTCAGCTCTTCAGCTCGAAGCTGGTGCTCTACCACTTGAACCACAGCACCACTTCCAGCTTTTTCTGCTTATGTGGTGATGAGGAATCAAACCCAGGGCCTCATGTATGCAAGGCAAGCACTCTACCACTGAGCCACCTTCCCAGCCCAGAGTCATAGTCTTTAGTGACTGATTTCTTTTTCTTTTTCTTTTTTTTTTTTTTTTTTTTTTTTTTTTTTGTCGGTCATGGGGCTTGAACTCTGGGCCTGGGCGCTGTCCCTCAGCTCTTCAGCTCAAGGCGAGCGCTCTACCACTTGAGCTACAGCGCCACTTCCGGTTTTCTGGTGGTTTATTGGAGATAAGAGTCTCACGGTCTCTCCTGCCCGGGCTGGCTTTGAACCGCGATCCTCAGATCTCAGCCTCCTGAGTAGCTAGGATTACAGGCGTGAGCCACCAGCGCCCGGCTGATTTCTTTTTCTTAACAAATTGTTTTTCAAGGTTGATCCCTGTTGAAGTATGTGTCAGTATTTCATTCTTTCTTGTTGCCAGTTAATATTCCATTGCATTGCAACTCTGGACCTTTTATGGGTCTGCTGATGAGTGGATATTCAGGTTGTTTCTATTTTGTGGCAATTCTAAGGAATGTTGCTGTGGATGTTGTTTTCAAATTTTCATACTGATCTGTTGCTATAGGATGGTATCTATTTATTTAGGTCCTTAATTTTTCTCAACAATATGAAAGTGTTATCCCACCTGTACTTTTAGACTAATCTACTGCCTTTTCTCCTTTCAACCCAGTGTTTATGATCACATGCAGCCATTCAGTCAAGAGAGAAAATCCCATCATTCTCAAAAATTTTTTTTTTTTTTTTTTTTTTTTTTTTTTTGTCGGTTATGGGGCTTGAACTCTGGGCTTGGGCTCTGTCTCTCAGCTCTTCAGCTCAAGGCAAGTGCTCTACCACTTGAGCTACAGCACCACTTCTGGTTTTCTAGTGGTTTATTGGAGAAAGGAGTCTCACAGTCTTTCCTGCTCAGGCTGGCTTTGAACCGCGATCCTCAGATCTCAGCCTCCTGAGTAGCTAGGATTACAGGCGTGAGCCGCCACCATCCCCCCCCCCCCCCCAAAAGTTTTTTGAAGCTCTTTTCAAGCCATCTCCTCACCCGACCACAGTCAATGAGCTGTCTATTATTACAGTTTTAACCTTTAATTTCCTAAAATATAATCAGATAGTATGTAAGACCTTTTTGTCTGCTTCATTCACTTGTAATAATGTATTTTGAATTCTATCCATGTGTCTTGAAGTGATTTAATGTTGCTCTTGCAGGTGGACAACATAGTAGCTGCTGAGTATGAGCTCGAGTACTTATTATTGGAAGGTCATTGCTATGACATCACCACAGGCCAACCCCCACGTGGACTGCAGTTTACATTAGGGACGTCAGCCAACCCTGTCATCGTGGACACCATTGTCATGGCCAACCTGGTAAATAACCAGTTCATTACATGCTGATACCACAGACATGCTAATTTGGGCACAAAAATTTATGGTGGAATAATTAGTATTCTGAATCACAATTGAAATTAAAATTTATAATTTAATTTGGTCAATATAAAAACCATTTGTTTGGTTCAACATGGAGATTGAAATTATACAACAACTTAAATGACAAAATGTGCTGCCATAAAGATGTTGTTTTTGCATTGCCTTGGTTATTTAATCATCTTACTTAAATTATCAGATGCAAGGCCCCGGGTTCAATTCCAGCACTACCTCAAAAATGGGATCAGGGACATAAAAAAAAAAACAACCCTTGCATTGCATCTTCAGAATGTAACTATCCTTCAGATAGTTTAAAGAGAGAACTAAAATTTGATTCTCTTTCATGTCCTAGGGCTACTTTCAGCTAAAAGCCAACCCAGGAGCTTGGATCCTCAGACTAAGGAAAGGACGCTCAGAAGATATTTATAGAATCTACAGGTAGGCTTAAGTGATGCAGGTGTATTATTTTTCCAAAGTACTTTCCAGTGAGAATCAAATCTAACTAAATGCTACCTAGCATTTTCTTTTTTTGGTCAGTCACGGAGCTTGAACTCTGGGCCTGTTCCTAAGCTCTTCAGCTCAAGGCGATGCTCTACCACTTGAGCCACAGCACCACTTCCCTACCTGGCATTTTCTTGAGCACCATACATTTACTTTATAGTCTGTGTGATAAAATGGAGTTTTCCATGAAAGTAAATATGGAAGAACTATCAGGGCAGAAGTGGATGACAATATATATATATAGTAATATATACAGTCAGGTTTTAGTCTGCAGTGATTTCTTTATGTCAATATTATCACTATAAAGCAGATGAGAAAAATAATCATTTTCAAAAAGTAGAAAAGAAATAAAGAACAACTATACTTCCCTATTTTGACAGTGTATGTCCTGACCCTGAGCAATGTGCAGACTTACCATATATCAGTGGCCAGATTTTTGTCTTGAAGGTTTACTACTCTTACTTATTAGTCAAAGTACACACTACCTTTAAGGTTTGGTTTAAATTCTACATATCATAGTTTAAGTTAGTCTTGAGCTATGTGAAAAGACTTTCTGCCAATTTATTAAGGCAATGATTTTCTTTTTTCTTTTTCTTTTTCTTTTTTTTTGTCGGTCATGGGCCTTGAACTCTGGCCCTGAGCTCTGTCCCTCAGCTCTTCAGCTCAAGGCTAGAGCTCTACCACCTGAGCTACAGCACCACTTCCAGTTTTCTGGTAGTTTATTGGAGATAAGAGTTTCATGGACTTTCCTGCCCGGGCTGGCTTTGAACTGCGATCCTCAGATCTCAGCCTCCTGAGTAGCTAAATTTTACAGGCTTGAGCCACCGGTGCCCAGCTAAGGCAATGATTTTCATTAGAAAAATTCCACCCTTGAATCTATTTACTTTGGCTCAGTACTGTCTTATCCAATACACATGAGAGCGATATGGATTAGTATTTGTCATCTCTCTCTCCCCCTCCCCCCCACTTTTTTTTTTTGGTGCCAGTACTGCTGTTTTACTCTGGGCCTAGGTGCCTGAGTGCTGCCCCCTTAGCTTTTTAGCTTAGGGTTGGCACTCTACCATTTGAGCTACAGCTCTACTTCTGCCTTTTGGTTCTTAATTGGAGATAAGAGTTTCACAGATTCTTCTGCCGAATTCAAACTGTAATCTTCAGGTCTCAGCCTCCTGGGTAGCTAGGATTAGAAGCATGAGCCATTAATACCCACCTCCTTCCTTTCCTTCCTTTTTTTTTTTTTTAAATAATCAATTAATGATTTTATTAGCATATATTTGCTCTGTTGGAGGTAGTGGTGTTCATTATGACATTTCTATACATGTACAATGTATTTCAATCAATCTCACTTCCTCTATTACTCTTCCTTCCTGTCTAATTAAAAAGTCCATGTTTAATTTTTGTTTTTGTTTTTTTTTTTTTGTGAAAATACTGTACAAGGGGCTGGGAAGGTGGCTCAGTGGTAGAGCGCTTGCCTTGCATGCATGAGGCCCTGGGTTCGATTCCTCAGCACCACATAAGCAAAAAGAAAAAAACCGGAAGTGGCGCTATGGCTCAAGTGGTAGAGTGCTAGCCTTGAGCTGAAGAGCTAAGGGACAGCCCCCAGGCCCAGAGTTCAGGCCCCACGACCGGACCCCCCCCCAAAAAAAAAAAAAAAAAAAAAGAAAATACTGTACAGAGGGGTTACAATTACATGGGCAAGATCTTGAGTACATTTCTTATATCAAGCATTGTAGCCTCCTCCTTTGTTTCCCCTTCCCATCCCTTCCCAGCCTCCCCACCCAATCCACCCCGCCCCCCTCCCTCCCCACCAAAGTTGTAAAGTTCGTTTTTGAGATAACGACTTGTACATCTCGTTGCAATGGGTCCACCTGTATCCCTATTTAAACGATTTGTTTTTCCCCTTCCCCTCCACGAATTATACCAACATCAAATACAGTAAAAGCAGGGGTTATACTGTGGGGGAGGGACATACAGAGCAACAAAGAAATAATCTTATAAATGTGTTAGAAACAATTGCATGAAAGAAAAAAAAATTGAATACATATCTTAGGGTTCATTTCCCTAACATCACCTTATCTGACCTTTTCTGCTTGACTTAGACATATACTAGTTATTGCAAATAAGGGAAACCATGGGACCTATATTTCTTTGGGCCTGGCTTACTTCACTTAATATAATTTTTTCCAAGCCTTTCCATTTCCTAACAAATAGGGCAATGTCATTCTTTCTGATGGAGGCATAGAATTCCATTGTGTATATATACCATGTTTAGTTTTGACTGAAGTATAATTACAAGGCTCACCTTACCTATAACAAGTTAATATTTTTCAGCTCCTTTCTTTCTTTTTGATATGGGGTCTTGCTTTGTTGTCAAGCTAACCTTGAACTCTCAGGCTCAAGCGGTCTTCCTGCTTTAGCTTCCTGAGTAGCTAGGATTACATAGGCACATGGCAGTATGCCCAGTTTAATGTGTTTAATGGCTTTCTTATAAATACATTTTTTTTTGTTTTTGTTTTTTTTTGGGGGGGGGGTTCCGCTCGTGGGGCCTGAACTCTGGGCCTGGACACTGTCCCTCAGCTCTTCAGCTCTTGAGCAAGCGCTCTACCACTAGAGCCACAGCGCCACTTCCGGCTTTTTTCTTTTTGCTTATGTGGTGCTGAGGAATCGAACCCAGGGCCTCATGCATGCAAGGCAAGCGCTCTACCACTGAGCTACCTTCCCAGCCCCATAAATACATTTTTTACCAAATATGTTTTCACCAGGTATAGTTTTACAGAATTTGAATAGTGTTTTCAAACTGCCCATTCTGCTATGCTTTTGCTTGTTTTCCTCCTCCTCTAGGGCTATGGTACATTCCTCTCTTTCTGACTATCCCATCCTCATGGGCTTCCTATATGAGTACTTCCTGTCTCTGAAGTGCTTCATACTTCAAGTTTCTCCCCTGCCAGAACTCTACTTTTGCTCAAGTATCCTACTCTTTGTGAATGACAGGAAGTAGTGGTTTCTGAACCTTGAAATTTGCTAACTAGAAATTGAAGCTAGTAGGAAAGCATTATTTAAAATTTTTTTTCAGCAAATATTTCCCTATAAATAAAACTGATTATAGTTCATCCTACCAGAGTACCAAGTTCAGTCCAAAGCCTTGACTTGGCTGATTGTGTGCCTCCAGAAGGAAAGAATAAGTTTCTTTTTCTTTTCTTTTTTTTTTTTGGAGGGGGTCTGGTCGTGGGGCCTTAATTCTGGGCCTGGGCACTGTCCTTCAGCATTTCAGCTCAAGGCAAGTGTTCTACCACTTGAGCCACAGCTCCACTTCCGGCTTTTTTTTTCTGCTTATGTGGTGCTGAAGAATCGAACCTAGGGCCTCATGCATGCAAGACAAGCACTCTACCACTGAGCCACCTTCCCAGCCCAAGAATAAATTTCTTTACAGAACTATTCCAATTAAGTGAAGCCAGTTCTTTGGCTTAGAGTGGTGCATATCATTTCCCACTCCTTTTTTCAAGGCACTGTACGTGGCTTAGGTCTACAAACATATTTGTTCAGTTCCCATCACATACTTGCCTTGCCTGGGGGCCTTTCACTCTGGTATGTAATCTGAAGAGAGGATTTGTGAAAGAAGTATTGTGTATAGAAATGTTTCTACAAGTGTTTTTATTGGTTTCTTTGAGGTTGTAAGAAAATGGTTTTGCAAAGCTCTTCCCTTTATCACTAATATATCAGATTGTAATTGACCATTTAGTGCCTTTTAAGAATTGTGATTTAGTGCTGAAGGTGCCTTGCATGCATGAGGCCCTGAGTTTGATTCCTCAGCACCACATAAGCAGAAAAATCTGGAAGTGGCACTGTTGCACAAGTGGTAGAGCGCTAGCTTTGAGCTGAAGAGCTGAGGGACAGTGCCCAGGCCCAGAGTTCAGGCCCTATGACTGACAAAAATAAAAATAAAATAAAGGAAAAAAAAATTGTGATTTGTAATATCTATCTTGGTTTTCTCTCCAAGCCATGATGGTACAGACTCTCCACCTGATGCCGATGAGGTTGTTATCATACTCAATAACTTTAAAAGCAAAATTATCAAAGTGAAGGTAAGTTTGTTGTGCTAAGACAGACATTCATTAATAATTGGTAAAAATTTGGTACATAATGGTATTTGTTATCTGTCATATAAAAATATTGACAGCAGTCTTACATATCCAAGAGTCCAACGTACCCATGATCAGCCAGTCTAGAAATACTACTGTTTATCTTGACTCTTTCAAGAGAGACATCTCATTCATACTACTTTTGTCATAAAATATGTTGTTTTAATTGTCCTATTTTAGTATAGTTAACTGTTATGAGTCTCTTCATGTGCCTAATTTATAAACTAAATTTTATCATAAGTATGTATGTATAAGCAAAACCATAGTATATTTCAGGATTCCATAGTAGGTTTCAGGCCACTGCTGAGGGTCTGAAATGTTCTTCCACAGATGGACAGGTAACTACTGTATCTTGAAACTAGCTCAAAAGTATTTTTGGAATTTATTGTAGCAATTATGGATTTTTTTATTTTTTATTTTTGGTAAATGTTAGTCTGTGGCTGACTGTCAGTGTGTAATGCCAGACTTGCTTTATATAGTATGTTCTGAGAGAGGCTTACCATTTGTATAGTCCCAGATTATAGTATTATTATTGATCATTTTACCCTGAGAATATTGAGGGAAATGCCAGTGAAAAGTTAAGCAATAATGAGCAATAACTTTTTTTTCCTTTCTCATTATTTTGGACTTATTAGTGTCTTAAAGTAAACATATTTGGAATAACTAAAGATTATGCACAGTAAAACCTAAGGTTAGTCATACATGGTTGACCTGAAGACTCATCTGGCACTTTGTGTTACTAAATCCTGAAACATGCTCATGGCATGCAATATCTGTGTCCTGACAGATCCACTAGGTTGTACTCCTTCCTTGAATTTACTGCTAGCTGGGCAAAATGTGCTGTGGGTTTACTCAGACTATTTCCCAAGCCACATTTCATGGTCTTTTGTTCCTTATACAAACTGAAAATAGTATTTAATTACAAGAGGTTGCTAGCTTCTCATTTAAGGCTGTAATGTGTGTATCTTGATGAAGACATTTTATTAGTTGAGTACTGATAGGCTCTGGATGGGGCTACACCTCCTTGTGGGAGAACTGTTGGATTATGTCCTGTTTTGGACAGTGCTTACAGTAAGTGCACACCCAGCACAAATCAGGTTTACTACAGTTAGACCACAAAGAGTAGTAAAATCTATTGCATATCATTCCAGGTACAGAAGAAGGCAGACATGGCAAATGAAGACTTGCTGAGTGATGGGACAAATGAGAATGAATCTGGATTTTGGGACTCTTTCAAATGGTAAATCCCCATTATGAAAAAGACATTTTTGCCAGGAGCAGTGGCTCACACCTATAATCCTAGCTGCTCAGGAGTCTGAGATCTAAGGACCACGGTTCAAAGCCAGCCCAGGTGGGAAAGTCCATGAGATACCAATTAACCACCAGAAATCCAGAAATGGTACTGTGGCTCAAAGTAGTAGAGCACTAACTTTAAGTAAAAAACTCAGGGACAGCACCTAGGCCCTGAGTTCAACCCCTCTCCCTCCCCCCCCCCAAAAAAAAATGGGTGCCCTTTGTAGGGCTTTCCTATCCTGCTTCCTGCAGACAAGTGTTACACTTACTTTTTGGAGTAGTACAAATCTCTTTTAACTTTAATGCCTCCCTCTGTTGAACATACTTCCACTAAACATTTCTTCACTGTCATTGGGCTGTACCTGCCTTTTAGAGAGGTGATGATAGTTGCTTAGTTTACTTCCCACTGTACAAATTGCATTCTATGCATCTGACTGTGATCCACCTGTTCCTAAGGCAATGTGGAGTTTTAGAGGAGGTGACCTTGTCATCTCTGGGCCCCCTATCAGAGTGTTGGGTTTTTCATGCCTGCACTTACTTTAAGGTGGGAACGGGAAAGTACTCACTACCTCTTTCCTTAAGGGTTGTGTGTCTGGCCAGCACTGCAAGATGTCCTGTTTTTATCTCTGTTGTTATAGGGGATTTTCAGGAGGACAGAAGACTGAGGAGGCAAAACAAGACAAAGATGATATAATTAATATTTTCTCTGTTGCATCTGGTCATCTCTACGAAAGATTTCTTCGGTTAGTCTTGTTGATTATTTTGGTATATGTAAATTAATTTGCTGTAGTGTTCTTATTTTGAGAAAAGGTTTATATACTTAGGTGTATTTGGAGCACTCTGAGAGTTATGAATTACTTGCCATACATCATTTGTATTGATCTCAGCAAGTCTGTGAAGTTGATCTAGTATTAAAGAGTAGCCCTTACAAGACTAGGCCTTTAATATCACACTCGTATCTTGTATTTGGCCATCAAATATTACGTAAATCAGATAGTATAGGCCTTGCAACACTCACCACCTTTTACAGATTTTAGAGCCAGGAGAAATGTAGTTCTTGGGACTGGCCCAAGCCACCCAGCCACTGGCTTAGGAAAATCCCTTAGGAACCTAATCACCATATCAAATGGACCTAGCTCAAAGGACACAGTGTTACTTGAAAGTCAGTTTCCTGATTGTCAATTGCTTTTCCTTTTCATCTTCCACTGTAATCTAGTATAGAAAAGAATCCAAATGCTGTTTTCCTCATTTTAGTTTTTCTATTTTCAAGAAACAGCCAACCTAAAATAATGCTGAAGGTTCTAACTGAATGTTGACTCAAGATTTCTGAGCTTAGGTGGGTGCCCGTGGCTCATGCCTGTAACCCTAGCTACTCAGGAGGCTGAGATCTAAGGATCATGGTTTGAAGATGGCCCAGGCAGGCAGGAAAGTTGTGAGACTCTTTTCTCCAATAAACTATTCAGAAAAAGCGGTGCTCAAGTGGTAGAATGCTAGCTTTGAGCAAAAGAAGTGCAGGGACAGCACCCAGGTGCTGAGTTCAAGCCCCAGGACAGGCCAAAAAAAATAAAAAATCCAGAGCTGTGCCCTCCCTGCTCCTTACTTGATTTTCTCCCTCAAAGGGAAGGTGAGGAGGCTGTCAGGAGACACATACAAGCTTTCCTCAGCAATATGCTGTTGTGGCTTACCAGGAGGTTTGAAGAATAGTGTAGCCAGTTGCCAAGACTTCTGGTCTAAACTTGTACCATAATTGATGTGGCAGTTTATGAAGTAGCTTATTTAACAGAATTGACATTAATCTCTGTCAGTTAGGTATCTGTTTATAGAGGTATTCTTCATTTTTCCCATTCAACTTGAGAAGTAGGAATGACTACATTTCTTTTCATTATTAAGGTTTTTACTTTGCTTAATTGAGCCAATAGTTAGCTCTACTATGCTCTGCTTAACGTGTCTGCTTAATGCTCTTTTGAGGTTTAGAAGCATTGAAAACTGTTGTTTTCGTTTGACAGCATAATGATGCTATCAGTACTGAAGAATACCAAAACTCCTGTGAAATTCTGGTTCCTGAAGAATTACTTGTCCCCCACATTTAAGGTTTGTTTCAGGGGGGAAAGGGAAACATTGTTGATTAATTGAAGATAAGAGTCTTACAGACTTTCTTGCCCTGGCTGGCTTTGAACTGTGATGCTCAGATCTCAGCCTCCTGAGCAGCAAGACTACAGATAAGAACTACCAGTGCCAGGCAATTTCTGATGAACTAACATTTTTTTCTGAATCATAGATGTCTTTTTTAATTTAGCAAGTACACTAATAGTTCGCTTTGGACAGAATGATTTTCTCATAGACCACTACCACACATTATATGGAGAGAATAACTTCATGCCAAACAAAAAATCATACTTGGATAATCTGCTTTATTTCTATCAAGAATTCTTACCTAAATAGATTTTTTAAAGAATTTTTTTTCTATAGAATGTACTGAACAATTTTTAAAATATTTAATAATGTCTCCCTGATAAGTAGTTCACTTCTGGTCCCCTGAAGGTATTTGTAGTTAAAATATGAAAGACTTATAAATTGTAACAAATTTGTTAAGTTTGATTTTGTTGTGTTATTCTTTTTTTTTTTTTGGGTCCAGTCGTGGGGCCTGAACTCTGGGCCTGGGCACTGTCCCTCAGTTCTTCAGCTCATGGCTAGCACTCCACCACTTGAGCCACAGTGCCACTTCCGGCTCTTTTCTTTTTGCTTATGTGGTACTAAAGAATCGAACCCAGGGCCTCATGCATGCAAGGCAAGCACTCTACCACTGAGCCACCTTCCCAGCCCCGTTCTTGTGCTATTCTTGAGTTAGAACCTAGCTTAGAGAAAAACTGTATAATCAAGCTGACAGAATATTATTCTAAAATCAGGTCTAGACAAATGGACTTTAAAGTTTTTGTGCTTAAGTGAGCATGTGCGTATTTGTGTGCGTGTATGCGCGCATGCACACACATACAGAGTTAAAAATGTAAAAGCCTTTGCCTGTAGATTTTTGTTATTTCTTGTAGTAACTAAAAGTTTTAAAGAAATAGGGATTATTTTATGTAGTCACAAGTGAATTGAGATTAAGTTCTTTGATACCACTGTTTTGGGAAACATTTTACTTGTACTATAATAATGGTGGTCCCAACTTCCACTAAGAGGGTAGATATTGCCAGGTGCCTGTGTCCCATAATGCTAACTACTCAGGAGGCTGAAATCTGGGGACCATAGTTCAAAGCCAGCTTGCGCAAACAAATCCTCAAGACTCTTACCTCCAATTGATTGTCAAAAAGTTAGAACTGGATTCATAAGTGGATTGTCAAAAAGTTAGAACTGGATTCATAAGTGGTTAGAGCACCAGCTGGTCAAAGTGAAGAGTATGAGGTCCTGAGTTCAAGCTCCAGTACTGGCACAAAAAGGAAGAGAAGAGGAAGGGAGAGCCTGGCAGGGTGATGGTGTATCCTATAATCTCAGCATTGAAAAGGCTGAGGCAGAAGGTTTGAGAGTTCAAGGCCAGCAGGTCTACACCATGAGACATGTCTTATAACACCACCAAAAGTAAAAAAGTCAATTCTTAATCAAAACGAATGATTTCTTAGTATTTCTAATGTCTGAAAACAGGAGTTTATACCCTACATGGCAAGTGAATACAACTTCCAGTATGAGCTTGTTCAGTACAAATGGCCCCGGTGGCTCCATCAGCAGACAGAAAAGCAGCGCATCATCTGGGGCTACAAGATTCTCTTCCTAGACGTGCTCTTCCCACTCATTGTGGACAAGTTTCTGTTTGTGGATGCTGACCAGGTGAGCTATCAAAGGCCAGATTTGTTTGTAGTAGGTATGACAAAGCCTTTTCTCTCTTTTTTTTTTTTTTTGTTGGTCATGGGTTTAACTCTGGTCCTGGGTGCTGTCCCTCAGCTCTTCAGCTCAAGGCTAGCCTTCTATCACTTGAGCCACAGCACCACTTCTGGCTTTTTCTGCTTATGTGGTGTTGAGGAATTGAACCCAGGGCCTCATACATGCAAAGCAAGCACTCTACCACTAAGCCACCTTCCCAACCCACCTTTTCTTTTTTAAACACTGTTTTTCTTACTATGAAAAAGTACCTGCTTGGTTTTTACTAATATTTAGAAAATATGGGAGAGCATTGCCCAAATGTGAGTACTTTTTAAATTTAATTTGTATTCAGTATATCTCCTTTTCATTTTTCTATCTTTTTTTTAACACAGTTGCAACAATGTCATATATGTAGTTTTATGTCTTACCTCATTTATTTAACAGTAAGAGTAAAAGTTGGAAAATTCAAGTATAGCAGTTATTTCCCCTCATTTCCCATTGTCTACCAAAAAGATAGCTGGCCAGTCTGTCTGCTGTCTGTCCATCATCTGTCGGTTTATCTACCTACCTACCTATCTATCTATCCATCTACCCTTCCATTCACTCACTTATCTCTCTTCTACCCTGTCCACCCACCTATCTACCTACCTACCTAGCTCTGGCTGGCCTTGATCTTCCTTTCTCTCCAGTGCTATACTGGAGGTCAGCACCACTATATCTGTCTAAAATTTGTGTTATTGGTATGAATGGTAGATGAAGCTCAGGGGGGATAATTGGCCTTGATAATAAGGGAATGATGCAGATGTTCTTGTAACTATCAGGATTTAACTTAACTAAGCTCCAACAGCATAAATGCACTTCCTCCTACAGCCGTCTCACCCGTCTACATTACTCTCAGCTTGAAGGGATATAATGTGTGCCAAAGTCATCTGAACAGACTTTCCCCACCTCTGTGTATCCCCTGCTTCTGGCGAAGCAACCTGAAATATGCTTTCTCATACAGTCACATGTAATCCTAGTTGAGTACTTAATATTGAGTAAGGCATTGTTCCACACTTGTCTGTGGTAGCCTACTTAGCCTCCCAACAATCCCTTGAGATATGTACTCCAAATTATGTCATCTGCTGCTTTCAGATGAGGAAACTGAGAACATCAAACCTATTTGAGTTAAGTTTGCACCTACAGTAATTTGTGCCATACTTCATGTTAGTGAGTTCAACCAGTTAGCAATGGAATTCAGACTAGATCTTGTACCATTACATATTGAGCTGCCTTCCCTCCACCTTCTGTGATGCACTGTGAACTTTAAGAAGTTATGTTAGTACCGCTTGCATACCAGCTTAGCAAATGACATTTGATTTTCTTTTCTTTAGATTGTGCGAACAGATCTGAAAGAGTTAAGAGATTTCAGTCTGGATGGTGCCCCTTATGGTTATACTCCTTTTTGTGACAGCAGAAAAGAGATGGATGGCTACCGCTTCTGGAAATCCGGTTACTGGGCCAGCCATTTAGCTGGACGCAAGTATCATATCAGGTACTGAAAATACTTATATTGGGAACATTTTTGTGAAAGTTAATGAATTAATTTGTCTGCTTCACATTGTAAATGATAATATATTAATATGGGTCAAAAATATTCATTGATAAAAGCTTTCTTTATTCTTTTTTTGGGGGGGTGGGGTCCGGTCGTGGGGCCTGAACTCTGGGCCTGGGTGCTGTCCCTCAGCTCTTCAGCTCAAGGCTAGCGCTCTACCACTTGAGCCACAGCATCACTTCCAGCTTTTTTCTTTTTGCTTATGTGGTGCTGAGAAATTGAACCCAGGGCCTCATGCAAGTGCTCTATGGCTGATCCACCTTCCCAGGCCCTATCCTTTTTCTTTTATCTAGTTCCCACTCCACAACAGATAACTCCCTTAGTTATTTACTGCCTGTCCTCTCAGAGTAATTTTTATATAAATAGGCCTGGACGCATGGGTTAGTCGTAGGAGCACCTGCTGAGCAAGGGCAAGACTCTGAGTTCAAACTCTAGTACTTCCTAACAAGTTTCTTTTGGGCTGGGAATGTGGCTTATTGGTAGAGTGCTTGCCTAGCAAGCATGAAGCCCTGGATTAGATTCCTTGGTACCACATGAACAGAAAAGGCCAGAAGTGGTGCTGTGGCTCAAGTGGCAGAGTGCTAACCTTGAGCACAAGAAGCTCAGGGACGGTGCCCAGGCCCTGAGTTCAAGCTCTAGGACTGGCAAAAAAAAAGTTTGTTTTTAGACAAACAGCTAGAAATGTCTATTTTTATATAAAATATACATCTTCTTTGTACTGTTTTATAACTTGCTTTTTTTTTTTTTTTTTGGTCCAGTTGTGGGGCCTGAACTCTGGGCCTGGGCGCTGTCCCTCAGCTCTTCAGCTCAAGGCTAGCACTCTACCACTTGAGCCACAGCACCACTTCTGGCTTTTTTTCCTTTTGCTTATGTGGTGCTGGGGAATCGAACCCAGGGTCTCATGCATGCAAGGCAAGCGCTCTACCACTGAGCCACCTTCCCAGCACTTGCTTTTTTTTTAACTTAATATTTTCTTACAGATCTTAATATCAACATATAAACAGATACCTTATTACTTTTTTCATATTATTCCAGGGTATTATTTAATTTTTTTCTGTGATATGTACTATGTTGCATATTTCATGTATGTTTGTAGGATATATTCACAAGAGACATCTTAGGTAAAGCAATGTATCCTTCATTATAATGAACACTCCATTATCTTTTTTGAGAAAAGTGTAATTTGGAAGATTTGGAGGATAGATGGACCTGTAGGACCAGAGATAAATGGTGAGATTCAGTGATTTCAGTTTTATCTTCATGCTTTTAGTGCAAAATAACTGTAATACCATGGGGGGGTTTTCCGCTGTAGCGTTTAAACATCATCAGGATATCCTTTGCAAATGCATTTTTTATGAGTTACTATAACACTTATCACCAAATCTGCTACATTCTCTAAAACTCTTTTCTCAGAAATTACTTTTTTTCAGAAGGCAAATCAGTAACAGTGATTAAAGAGAGCTAGTGATGGCAGGATATAGTTTATCCAATAATTTTCTTTAACTTCTTTGAAAGAAGTAGCACATATGAACCTAACTCTACTGTGACCTTTCAGTTCACCATTTCAAAGAAAAACTGGAATCTGACCTATTTTGTTTTTCAGTGGGGTTAGTTCTGCCATAAATCCATTGTTGATTATAACAAGCAGGTCTTCTCTATTCAGTGCACTATATGTTGTGGATCTGAAGAAGTTTAGGAAAATAGCTGCTGGTGACAGACTCAGGGGACAGTACCAAGGTCTGAGTCAGGATCCCAATAGCCTTTCAAATCTTGATCAGGTAGGTGACTTTTTTTTTATGGTTAACATTTTCAGATTGGGGTATAGAGTGTATTGTCTTAGAAAATGAATTATTATTTGTTTTTCAATTCTCTGTTTCCTTTTGTTTCATGGACTATGTGCATGTGTGTGTGAAAGATTTGTATCTGGCCTCAGAACATCAGCCAGTAATGGAAAATGTCAGAGACCTGCTTGTAATTAATTAAAGAGGTGGAAAAGGATACTGTATTTCTGAACATGATCTTGTCATTCATTCGTTCATTCATGCAGGTTCTGGGGCTTGAACTCAGGGCCCGAGTGGTCCCTGGGCTTTTGTGCTGTGTGCTCAGTGCTAGTGCTCTACCACTTAAGCCGTAGGTCCACTTGCAGCTTATTGATAGTTAACTGGAGATCAATCTCATAGACTTTTCTGCCTGGGCTGGCCTTGAACTGCAGTCTTTAGATCTCAGCCTTCTGAGTAGCTAGGATTGCAAATGTGAGCCACTGGTACCTGGCTATTACCTTATTTTTTAATTTGTTACAACTTCATCTATTAAATTTGTTTCTCTGCCTGCTGTAGTCAATTCATTTTTTCAGCTTTATGAACTAAATAACTCAGGATTCACAGTATACAATAAAGTGTTACAGTTTCCCTTTTTATATCTGTCAGAAAACATAATGTGTTTTAAAGCTAGATGAAAAACTATTAACGCTAGACATCTTTTAGATACCAAATTGTAGTTTAAGTGTTTTAGAACATAGTTTCACATAATTAAACATTTTGTTTTGCTTAAGTCAAACTTAAAACTTCTTAAATTGTGTGTGTGTGCGTGTGTGTGTGTGTGTGTGTGTGTGTTCTGGTACTAGGGCTTGAACTCAGGGTCTGAAAGCTGTCCTTTAGGTTTTAATGTAGTTCTGATTTATACTCTCAGCAATGTGAGACATCCTGTTACTCCATATTTGACCAAAATTTACTGTCAATCTTAATTTTATATGTGAGCTGTCAATTCATTGTGACTTTCAGTTCAACAATGTAATCCATTTATGGATAAATGTAATTATTAACAAGGCAGAATTTGACTGCCATTTTCTATTTATATTATTATGTGTTACATTATGTTCTTTCTTTTGTGTAAATCGTTATTCCGTAGTGTATCATTTTTCCTTATTTTTTTTAACTATATATATTTTCTAGCTATTTTGTTGTTTGTCCTGATCTATTTGGGAGCAAGGCTCAGTAGACAAGGGACATTCAGAGTTGCTTTTGGGGAAGCTATGTATTAAAAGAGCTCTCTAAACTTACTTGACTTCCAAAAGTGAGCAGGGATAAGTTTTGTTGAATTACTTTCATACAAGGAAGTCTAGATAAGTTTTAAGCATTCTGGATGTATGTAATGGGAAAGAGTTTTTGATTTTGTATTTGAATTTCCTCTGGAAATTTATAGATTTCTGTGCTTTATTTTCTTTTCCAAACAGGATTTGCCCAACAACATGATCCATCAGGTGCCAATCAAATCTCTCCCTCAAGAATGGCTTTGGTGTGAAACCTGGTGTGATGATGCTTCTAAGAAGAGGGCAAAAACCATTGACTTGGTAAGCTATGGGGAGTGAAGTCCTATATCTGCCCCAGGCCCCCGTCAGGACTGTTTGCATTGCTTCTTGTCTGTGGAGCCACTTCTCTGCCAGCTCTTCTCTGTGCCTTGTTATTTTTCCAGATGGACTTTGACTTTGTCTATCTTTGATAACTTCCATAACTTCTTTGTAGAAAGAAATACAGCTTATATAGCCCACTGCCAGATACATATTTATGTATGTATATCTTCTACTATATCTTTTAGTTGCTCAGGCTTGGTTTGGTTATTTGTTGTTGACCAGTTAGTACATGTAATCAAGGGACAAAAATATCTTTGCTTAATTTCTTCCCTTCCCTTTGTCCCAATCCCTTTTTTCCTTTTCTTCCTTTCTCTCCCCTTTTCCCACTTTCCCCCTTTCCTACTTTTTCCCTTTCTCCTTTTCCTCTTTCGTTCTTTTCTTTCCTTCCCTTTCTTTCTATGCCAGGTCATTATGTAACCTAGGTTGGCTTTGAACTTGTGATCTTCCTTCCTTAGCCTCCCAAGTAGCTGTACTACCATGCCCACTACTAACACCTTTAAATTCTGTATAATGACCCTTTTCTTTAACTTAGCTGAAGTGTATATATTGGATTTTCAGTGTAATAATCCAATGACCAAAGAACCCAAGTTGGAAGCTGCAGTGCGAATTGTCCCAGAGTGGCAGGACTATGATCAAGAGATCAAACAACTACAGATTCGCTTTCAGAAGGAGAAAGAAACAGGCACACTCTATAAGGAAAAGACAAAAGAGCCAAGCCAAAAAGGTAAATATAAATCTTTGTCTTTGGATAAGTATTTATGTTTCTATTTTCTATTTGTTATTAAAGCAAAAAAATAATAAAGGAAAAGAAAAAGTTTCTTTAATCCTAACATCAGTCAAAGCCTGCTTTTTATTTTGCTTTTTCATTTGTCCATTCTGAAGATTATATAATAACATTAACTGAAAAGTTATATATTGACCATAAATGTTATTCACATGTATTACTAAAACCTCAGTTTCTGGATAAATGGGCAAAGAATGCAAACACACATCATAATAAGAGTGAAGCACAAGGGAATTTGAGGAAACAGCAATCCAAATGGAGGAATCTGTCTTAAGTGTGTACTACATGGAATCAGGGAGACATACAAGCATCCCCATTCATGGGGAGAAGGTGGACAGACTGTGGTATGCCTTGTCGAAGCTGTTGGGTGCAGCAGGACAACGCAGCAAGTGCTTCTGCCTCAATAACACTTCTACTGAGTATATCATAGAGAAGCAATTCACCACAAGAAAACAATACAGATGAAGGCAATTATTTTACTATTTTTATAAGCCAAAACCATTATTAAAAAATGGTTTCAACATCCAAGAATGAGCTATACTGATACATAAGAACATGTTTATGTGCTAGTAAGTTTTTTTTTGTTTGTTTGTTTTTAAAGACTCTTGCCAAGCATAGTGGTGGGCATATCTATAATCCTGGCTATTTGAGAGTGAGAGATTTAAGGGATCTCGGTTAAAGCCTGAGCACAAAAAATTTGTGAGACTCCAGTGTCAGCCAATGGCACACATGTATTATCTCAGCCACACAGGGAAACACAAATAGGATCGATCACAGGTCAGGAGAGCCTGTCTACAAAGCAAGACCTAGTCTTGAAAATAAATAGAACTAGATAGGCTAGAGGCTTGGCTCAAGTGGTAGAGCAAGGGAAAAGCCCTGTGTTCAAACCTCAGTATCACCAAAAAGAAGAAATAGAAGACAACTGACCAAAAATGTGTGAACATTATTACGTATTAATACTGCACTTGAGAAAACAATTCAGTTGACTTTGCGTTATTTCAGTGCGTGTGTGTGTGTGTGTGTGTGTGTGTGTGTGTGTGTGTGTGTGTGTGTGTGTGTGTGTGTGTGTGTGTGTGTGTGTGTGTGTGTGTGTGTGTGTGTAGAATGTGGGAGGGGGGGTGAGTCGGGGTCCTAGGGTTGAATTCAGGACCTGGACACTGCCCGTGAGTTTTTGTGTTTAAGGCTAGTGCTTTATCACTTTGAGCCACAGCACCCTTTATGGCTTTTTGGTAGTTAATTGGAAGTAAGATCTCATATAATCTCCCCTCCTGCCCCCATCGCCCCAGGCAGGCTTTGAACCATAATCCTCATATCCTAGTTACTCATATCTTGAGTAGCTAGAATTAAAGAGTGAGCCACCAATGCTCAGCTTTATTTCAGTGTTTTTAAAATAAAGCTGTCTCCTTTATTATGTTTTTGCTTTCAAATTTTAATATAAAGTCCTAAAAATTTGAAAGGAGAGATAAAAATTTGAAAGGAGGGGCTGGGAATGTGGCTTAGCGGTAGAGTGCTTGCCTAGCATTCATGAAGCCCCGGGCTCCATTCCCCAGTACCACATCAAGAGAAAAAGCCAGAAGTGGCTCTGTGGCTCAAGTGGTAGAGTGCTAGACTTGAGCACATAGAGGCTTGGAGACAGAGCCCAGGCCTTGAGTTCAAGCCCCAGGACCGGCAAAAAAAAAAAAAATTAAAAATTTAAAAGGAGGCAAGAGTATATAGATCAGGTTGTGGACTATGTCCATTTTGTATTTTTATAATTGAAGAGTAATGTTTTATTGTCCATTGTTCTTTTTCATAGGATCTCAGAAACGTGAAGAATTATGAGCCCTGGAAGGAGACAGGAAATGACACCATTTGAAAAACAGTTTTTGTACTAAATGCTAGGTTTTTTGTTTTTGTTTTTTCTGATCTGTCTATACAACTGCTGATGAACTGACTGAGCAGGTGTGCCACACCTCTTGATTCTGAGCATTGATTTTGACTTCTATACGCCTTAGGCGCTGGATCTTTGGGGTTAAGGCTCTGCTAGATTTGTACCTCAGAAGAAGTGGCTGATATTTTGGGACTCTGTAAAGAGCGAGGAAAAAGAAAAAGAGCAATCTTGTTGCCATATGGAGAAATGACAGCAGCAACCAGAAGAAGCAGAGTCCTTTGTGCCCACACACAAGAGCACACACATGCTGTGCCGTCCTGGAAGCAGGCTGGGAGCCACCACATGCTTCCTTACCTCAGTTTACTGCACTGGGTCTGGGTCAGGCTAGCAGAAGCTTCATCCATACTCCGTGCCTGGAGGTATATGCCAACATGCTTCTCATGTCCTCTACCCACTCTCTTCCCAGGCCTTAGGTTTGATTTTGATTGAACCCCAGTTAGTAGTCATGTGTCTTCAGGGTTGACTTGGTACAATGGCTCAGCAAATTAATTGGGGGGGCGGGGGTTGGGAAAGGTAGGGAAAATAGCAGGCCTAGAAAGGGCTCTCAGGTGTGCTGGGGAGGAAAACTACAAAGTGGTCGTTCTTCTTTATGAACCACCAGTACCGTTGTGGCTAATTTGAAAGGAAAACATATTCCTATTCCCTACCTAGTCCCAGGGAACTTTCTAGGTAATTATTTTGTAAACAATTTTTGTATTTATGAAAGTCTTTACTTTTTCTTCTCACTTTCTAAAAAGAAAAAAAAAATCTTAGCAATTTTCCAACTGGGCACAGCCATAAGAAGCTCCTCTGGTGATGAAGCTACGAAGGCTCAGGCTTCAGGCTCCTTGGTTGCTTGTTACATCACTTCCCCTTTTCTTTTTCAGGGCTTTTTTCTCAGACACAGGAAAATTGGCCTGGATTTTCCTCTACAAAAAATATCCAGATTGGTTGGTTGTCAGTGGCTCATACCTGTAATCCTAGCTACTTAGGAAACAGATCTGAAGATTATGGTTCCTGAGCAGGAAAGTTTATGAGACTCTTCTTTCTTATTAGACAGCAAAAACTAGGAATAGAATTTGGCTCAAGTGCTAGTCTTGAGCAAAAATGCTAAGGGATAGTGCCAGGTCCTGAGTTCAAGCCCAGTACTAGCACAGGAAAAAAAAAAAGCTAACAAAATTTAAAAGTTCTCAGGATCAGAGACCAAAAAGGATTCTGACTCTGGAACTCATACCCTGTCTTATGTACTGTTTATTTTAGCTCTCTACACCAATTCTGAGGTGGCATGGCTGTGTTATGATGTATCATAACCTTCCGTCTTTGCCTTGTGTGTCTTCACAGTGACAGCCTACGTCATCCCTGTGGAATTCTTGGGGCATGTGGTACCATCTGCCCTGGCCACAAGGTACGGCAGCACCAGCACCAAGGGGCAGCGCCCTGCCTTCTGGCTTATGGGTTTGCTGTTTTTGAGATTGCTGCTTTTTAAAACTAGGAAGGGCTGGGCTGTGGTTCAGGAGCAGAATGCTTTTCTTGCTTGCAGAATGCTTTTCTTGCACTGCACAAAAACACAATAAAAACAAAAACAAGGATGAGGTAAATGCTTAGCTAAATCCTCACCATTCTAAGCCAGGTAACAATTTGATACGCGGTCTTTTTAAAAGTCAAAATATTAACCACAGATTTCTATTTTTTTCCATTTTTAAATGTAGAAATTACCATAGAAGCTTCCCAGTCATTTGAAGGTGCTTCTGGATTGGCTTTCATAATTTCATAACAAGTTGGGGAGCACAGCTTAAAAGAGAACTTGACTGATGAGTTGATTTGAGTTGGGAAAGGTCCCAAGGTGGCTGGATGAGGTAGTTTTCTACTTGCCTCTCCCTGGTCTGAGCATCTGACAGGATAGGATCGCTGAAATCAAGAAACACCTGTTCAGGCATCATCTCCACATTTAATTAAGCTTTCAGAGGCACTGCCACTGCTGTCTACAGCTGCAGGCAGAAATGTAATTCTCCCCAGCCTTGTCTGGGAGGTTGAGTAGGAAATGGTCAGGTCGCTAGCATATGCTCTACATGCTGGCTCTTTGCTGGCTTCCTTCTTGTCTTACTACCAGGTCTCTTAGGCATACTCTGCAGAGAAAGAAGGTATGAAGTAAAACTGTTCCCTGTGGGGTGCTGGTTCCTTCAGCTCTGCGCCCCATCTGTCAGCACCCAGACAGAAGTTTTTGTACTTGGTGCTGAGTAACACCAATCCCAGCTTGCTTCTGAAGTGGTCTGTGCCCCTCTGTCTGTTTCTTTCCTTGCTTTGTGGGGCTTAATCACCTCTCTAAGTTAACCAAATGCCCAGGAAATGATGTTACCACTAAAATATGGTCCTGGTGAGCTTTGTCTGTAGCCTCTACTATAAGAAACTGTACTATGTCTGAAAAGAGAGGTGAGAGATTTTTCCCTAGGAACTAAGAGCTGATGGACCCAAATGTTCAGGCTTCTGGGAACTGTTCAATATGGTGGTCTTAGTTAGCATTTGGATGTAATTTTTTTTCTCATGTCATAGTGGAAATTTTCCTTTCTAAATCACTTGATAATATAATATGAAATAATATGGCATATCGAAATGCCATGCAACAATGTGGATCTATTTCTATGTTTTGTGAACAATGTATTTGACTGAGATCTGGGGCGGTGGATATGCCATGGCCAGGGTCTTTATCTAGACTCCTGGGTGTAGTCAAAAGTATATTTATTCAACACTCACATCGAGAGTGGTAACAAGTTGGCTTTTTCTAGATTGATGAAATTGTGATTCCATCAGAATGTTGGATTTCAAACTGAACAGAAAGACGTTTGTTGGTGTTGGGCCTTCCCAAATGTTAAGAAACAATTTCTGTAAACTAAGCTAAATTTCCTGTACTCTCCTGACATCCTCATGTTTGAATTTTTAAGCTCTTCCTGAACAACACTGACCTGGTTTCAGGGTCTAAGAACTGGCAACAGGAGTGCAGTTTTGGAAGGGAGAGTCCAAGTGATAGGGGAAGAGAGTCTCCTTTGCCAGATGGTCAGGTACATGTCAAGCCAGACAACACTGTCCCCAGTGACTACAGTTAGAAACATCAAAGCAGTCCTTTTCTAAGATAGTCACTCCTAATTTGGCTTAACTAAAAGAAATGTTTGAATGTAGTTCTACTTTCCTGAATGGAGTTTGTAGAAATTGAATCAGTAGAAACACCTGGTAGAAAATGTCTTGAAACAAAAGTGGACAGAAGTGAAAGATGGAGAGTGTACTATGTGCTAAGTTACATAGATTCACATTCATTGTGTAATTTTAATAGTTTTTACAGTACTTGATGTTTTGAGGGCATTTTTTTTATGATCACAGTTAATCAAACATAGTTTGTCATGTCTGGTTTGGTAGTCCAGCAGTTTTTATATAAATTCATGTTTTCTATGCCTTAACATAGTAAGAAAAGATTTTGATTAGGACTTGGTGATTAATTAGCTGACTGAATCCAAACAATCCAGACATGAAAGCTCAGGTCATTACCGACACTACAGAGTGTCTGGAGGTGGCACATTTCTCACTCTTTATTTGGTTTTTGGTTTTCTCTCTGTGATAGAGAAACCACTTCTGTGTTGTGACTTGGCTGTGAGTCTGTGGATATGTAGAGGATCTTGTTTAGTATCATTGAGTAACAGCCATTACCTCCCCCCTCCCTCCCCCAAAATAAACCCACCACAAACAGCCTCAGACAGCTACACATTCCCCAGAAGTAGCCTGTACAGCTTAAACACAACATGTAAGAGGCCCTCTCCTGAGTCTTTCCCAGGTTGCCAGCAATGCAGAGGCCAATGGGAAGGCCTGAGTGACTGGACCATGAACTAGGACATGAGCCCATTGGATTATGCATCGCCTCCAGGTCCCATGTAGATAAATAGAACGCAAAATAATGTTGGCCTTTGGAACAAAACATTTTCAAGTACTCATTGTTTTCCAAACAATAATCCATGGAAATGAAGTAAAGGGAAAATGGGGACAAAGCTTGGAAAGAATGTAGTTTAAAGAACCTTCTTTATAACTCTCCTACTTTACTGTAATTCTGTTCCTAAATGCAGCTATATGTCTGGTGCGTTGGGAACAGTATTGAGGTTTTAAATGTCTGCAGAATCTCTGCATCCAAAGGGAAATGAGAACCAATTTCCTGGTACTATAATGAAAATAAGGTCTGCTCAACAAAATAAACTTCTGCCTCTCTTCTTTAAAACTGTGTGGTCAGTCATTCAGCTTTTATGTATTGAGAGCACAAAAGCCAAGTCCTTGGTAGAAGTTGCATACCCTAGCAGGGAATAGACCTTTGTCTAAAGTCTTGTCTGGCTGGTGGTGGCTCATGTCTAATTCTAGCTACTCAGGAGGCTGAGATCTGAGGATTCCAGTTCAGAGCCAGCCTGGCCCAGGCAAGAAAATCTGTGAGACTCTTCTTTTTTTTTGGTGGGGGGTCCGGTCGTGGGGCCTGAACTCTGGGCCTGGGCGCTGTCCTTCAGCTCTTCAGCTCAAGGCTAGCACTCTATCACTTGAGCCACAGCGCCACTTCTGGCTTTTTTCTTATGTGGTGCTGAGGAATCGAACCCAGGGCCTCGAGCATGCAAGGCAAGTGCTCTACCACTGAGCCACCTTCTCAGCCCCGAGACTCTTATTTCTAATTAACTCTTAAAAGCCAGTGAAGCTGTATCTCAAGTGGTAAAGTGCCATCATTGAGTGAGAAAGTTAAGTGACAGTGCCTAGACCCCAAGTTCAAGCCCCAGAACTAGCCCCAAAAATCCCCACAAAACTTGTATGACCTCAAAGTTGGATTCTTCCAGGTGAGTGCCTAGCAGGTCCCAAACTAGGTTCTTTAAAAATACCAACAAAAAGCCGGGCGCTAGTGGCTCACGCCTGTAATCCTAGCTACTCAGGAGGCTGAGATCTGAGGATCGCGGTTCAAAGCCAGCCCGGGCAGGAGAGACCGTGAGACTCCTATCTCCAATAAACCACCAGAAAACCGGAAGTGGCACTGTAGCTCAAGTGGTAGAGCGCTCACCTTGAGCTGAAGAGCTGAGGGACAGCGCCCAGGCCCAGAGTTCAAGCCCCATGGCCGCCAAAAAAATGCCAACAAAATTAAGAAGGCATTATGAAAGAAAATAGAATAGAAATGTAGAAATAAAAACATTCTACAAAATATATAAATAAAATGAATTGTAAGAGAATATTATGAACTTTGTTGGATCCTTAGTTATCAAGAAAGAAGTCCTTATAAATGTGCAAACCACAGAGTGACAAAAGAGAAAATCAGAGCAGATCTATAACAAAGGAGAGAGAACTTCTATTCATCAAAACCTTTCTAGAAGTGACAGTATTGCTCAAGTGGTAGAGCATTTTCCTAGTAAACTATGTCAATTTGCCAGTGAAATGCTGGAAGTAGAGGTGTGGCTCTAGTGGTAGAATACCAGCTTTGAGTGAAAAAGCCAAGCAAGAGCTCAAGGCCTTGAGTTTGAGTCTCTACTAGCATACATGCATGTGTGCACACACACTGCACACATAGCATACTCAGTGCGGAAGGTTGGAAACTTTCCTCATGGAATCAGCAAAGATGTGCACTTCTAACACCTTCAATCAAACCATAGTTCTGCAAGTTCTGGACAGGGAAATTAGGCAAAAAAAGAAAACACATGCAAATTGGGAGAACAACAAGGTCACATCTGTTCACAGATGATGTACCTAATGTAAAAACCACTAAAGAATCCACAGCAAGAGCTATTTAATGAATTCAGTAATGTCCAAAGGACACAAAATTTCATTGTCTATAGTAACAATGAACAATCCAAAAGGGAGTTCAATTTACATAGCACCAAGAGGAATGGGATACTTAGGAGTAAACTTAATCAAGGAAACTGCCCACTGAAATACAGTGAACAATCAGTGTTGCTGAAATAAATACCTAAATAAATGGAAAGAAATACTGAGTTCATTAGTTGCAAGATGATATCGTTTTGTTTTGTTTTTTTAATTTTTTTTGGGGGGGGGGGGGTTCTGGTCATGGAGCCTGAACTCTGGGCCTGGGCACTGTTCCTCAGCTCTTCAGCTCAAGGCTAGCGCTTTATCACTTGAGCCACTGCGCCACTTCCCGCTTTTTTTCTTTTTGCTTATGTGGTTCTGGGGAATTGAGCCCAGGACCTCATGCATGCAAGGCAAGCGCTCTACCACTGAGCCACCTTCCGAACAGCCCCAATAATATTGTTATAATAAAAATACTCTGAGGATTTATCTACAGATTCAATACCTTACTGTTAAAAGCCCACTGGTATTTTTTTTTTTTCAAAAGTAAAATGGTTTATCCTAAAATTCACCTGGAATTTCAAGGAACTTTGCTAAATCAGGACAATTGTTTCTGTACTAGAACTTGAACTCAGAGCCTTGTTCTCTCACATAGTTTGCTTGCTAGCCTGGCACTGTACCACTTGAGCCATGCCTCCAATCTAGCATCTGCTGCTTAATTTTAAATAAAGCTTCACACTTTTCTTTCCAGACTGCCTTTAAGCTGACATTTTCCAGGTCTCAGCCTCCTGTGTAGCTAGGATTATAGATGTTAATCACCAGCACCTGGCTGAGGGTGCTGAAAAACGTTTCATGTTTCAAAACCTACTACCAAGTGCTGCAAGGCATAGAATAAACATATACCAATGAAGCTGAGATCCCAGAACTCAACCCTCATATACATGAACTGTTGGTATTTGAAATAAGTGCCAAAGAATTTTTTTAAATGCTGCTGGATACAACTGGATAGCTGCATGCAAGAGAATTAGTGGATATTAAATTAATACTGTTAGCAAAACAAAAAAAAACATTTCCTTATAATAAATTACAGGGGGAGGGAAAGGGAGAAAATTGAGGGAGGGGGAAATTTTAAAAATAAAAAATTACACACCAAAGGACATCATGAGAATATCCACAGAACCAGAAAAATGTTTATGAGTCACATTATGAATCTGATAAAAGGTTAATATTAATACCCAGGCTTGATTTTATCATAGTGTCTTCAAAGTTCATCTCTTAGCTTGGGCTGGTGTAATAAAATGTGGAAGCTTGAGGGACTTAATTAACAGAAATTTGTTTTTCACAGTTCTGAAGGTTGGAAGTGTGAGATTAGACCACCTGGAAGATTGGGCTCTGACTGCCGGACTTCTTAACTGTGTCCTCAGAAAGGGGAGAGACAGAGTGAGAGAGAAGAAATCACCTTAGCTTCTCTTCTTTTTTGTTTTTTTTGTGCTGGTCTTTGAACTTGAACTCAGGGTTATGCAACCTCCCTGCCGCTCCAATATTTGAACCCCACCTCCAGTTTGGCTTTCTGCTTGTGATGTAGATGAAGTCTTAGAGACATTTCTGCCTAGGTTGGCTTTGAGTGGTGATCCCCCAGGTCGCAACTTCTTGAGTAACAAGGATTACAAGTGTGAGCCACAGTGCCAGGCTCTTCTTTTTCTTGGACTAAAGTCCCATCATGAGATTCCCACTCTCGTGCCTCACCTGTCCTAATTTAAACCTCATTCCTCTCCAAGGTCATATATTTGAATACCAAGATGTGAGAGGGTAGGATTTCAACATATGAACTACAGGTGGGGGCACAATTTAGTCCACAGCATAGCATATATCAGAATATTCTTTGTGGTACTGGGGATTGCACCCAGGGCCTGGCACAATCTAGAAAAGCATTCTGTCATTTAAGGCATTCTTCCAGCCCTTTCATTTGTATTTTATTGTTGAGACAAGTTCTCCTTTTCCAAGGCTAGCCTCAAACTCATAATCCTCCTACCTCCACATCCTGACTAGCTGGGATTACAAACATGTACCATCCTGTGCAGCTAATTAGAATTTTCCCTTTGTATGTGTGCACGTAATACTGAGGATTGAACCCAAGGCTTTGTACATGCTAGGCAAGCATTTCATCACTGAGCTATACCCCAACTGTAATTCATTTAAAGGTGGGTTAATGTTCTGTGTGTGTATATATGTGTGTGTGTGTGTGTCTTTCTTTCTGTCTGTGCGTGTGCCCATATTGGGACTTGAATTTAGACCTGGGTGCTTTCCCTGAGGTTTTGGGGGGATTATTTTTGTGTGTGGTTGAGTGTGTGTGGTTGTGTGTGTGTGTGGTTGTGTGTGTGTGTGTTCTCAAGGCTAATACTCTACTATTTGAGCCACAGCTCTACTTCCGTTTTTTTGTTTATTTTGGTGATTAACTGAAGAGTCTCATAGACTTTCTGGCCAGGCTGGCTTTGAACCTTATTCCTCAGATTTCAGTTGCCTGAGTAGCTAGGATTCCAGGTGTGAGTCCTCAGTGCCTGACTTGTATTTAATTTCTTGAGGCACCCCACACTGTTTTCCACAGCAGTGACACCACTGGACATTACTGCCAGTGATGTACAGGGTTCAGTTCCTCTCTTTTTACCAATAGGAATCATGTTTTCCTTTGTTGTGCATCCACTAGTCACCTTAGTGCATGTGAAGAGGTGTCTCATTTGAGGGTTCGACTTGCACTTCCCAAAGGAGGAATAGTATTGAGCAACTTTTTGAGTGGTTTTTCGGCATGTGCTTTTCTTCCTCAGAGAAATAAGCTCAGATTCTTTGCCTATTTAAAAAAAAATTATAGAGCTCAAAGAATTCTTTATATATTTTATATACTAGTCTCTTTTCAGATATATGAAAAGATGGCTGAAAAGGTATACAGATATTTCATACAATATGGTCTTTTTCTGCAATGTGTATTTATGGTCTCTCTCTCTGTCTCTGTCTCTCTCTGTGTCTGTCTCTCTGTGTCTGTGTCTGTCTGTCTCCCCCCCCCCACCTCTTTCTTTCTCTCTCTCTCTTCCAGTCCTAGGGCTTGAACTCTCAGGGCCTGGAAACTGTCCTTAAGCTTTTTTGCTCAAGGCTAGCATTCTACCACCACTTAAGAACAACTCCACTTCTGGCTTGGAGATAAGTCTGCCTGGGCTGGCTTTCAACTATCATCCTCAAATCTCAGCCTCCTGAGTAGCTAAGACTATAGGCTTGAGCCACTGGTGCATGGTTTCTTCCTCTTTTTAGCTCTCCCATTTAGGTATTTGATCACATGGGGTTTTGTGTGTGAAGAGAGGAAGGGTTAAGCTCATGGTTTGCAATGGTGCCAGCACTGTGTTTTAGTTTGTTGTTTTTTTTCTTGGGGGCGGGGGGTTCTGGTCGTGGGCCTGAACTCTGGGC